ATTTTCCATCTTGACAACCAAAATGACCTCATACTGACGAACGATAATCAAGTATTTCACAATCTACACTTAGTTTTGTTATCTTTACCAATTCTCCAACTTGACAACCAAAAATGACCCCAGACTAACGAACGATGATCAAGTTAGTAAACTTTGTTTTGATATAATAACAGATATACTATTACCTTTGATATTTAGTTTGAACTATCTTCATTGTTATTTTGACTTTCAATATGTCCTTTTAAGTTGAACTAAGTCTATATTTTTCTCACCCCCTAACTCTTTGTTATATATATGCTGAGATTTTGTAAATTCAGGTTTAATACTGCTACTTTGAGAAAGGTAGTAGCATTAAATAGCGAAACGTCAGTAAGAGCAACAATATCGTTTTGTTTTTCATTCATTGGGAAATACAAAAACCTCTATTATAATGAAAAACACATACAGTATTCACATAATAAATGACAACGAAATATTATTAATCATATTCAAGAACACAGAAGAGATAAACAAACTTACATTGCACTTATTATTATTCGAAGTTGTTTCTTCACTTGACACTGATTTCATTGAACGAATGCTGCTTAGTAAATCGTAAACTTTCTGATCAAGTTTTCTTAGTGAAGAAGAATACCAGTCTGACAATTGAGGATGTGGAACTGAGAATAAAGAGAGACAGAAAGTAGATTGAGATATGTGACTAATCGATAAAGGCTAGTAAAAAAACAAATGAACCGATTAGGTAATGTTAGATTGTAGGGGAAGGAAATGAAACACGTTTTTAATGAAGATGTGATAAGATTAAGGGATGATAAGAAAAGGGTTGGAAATATAAATAAGGGGTGGTGTAGAAGTCTTTCGTTGGTTATGTCTTATTAGGCCAAGGGAGGGATAATGGCTGTACGAACTTCTTTTGAATGCATAGTTTAGGTTTAATAGTTCGTGTGCCTATCGCCTCAGCTATGTGCAGTAGACGAATACGAAGTCTATTAGATTCTACAGATTCGGTGGGATACGATGAATTACTTTGAAAGCTTTCGTTTTCTCCATTGCATGATCACTATTAATTAAATGTGATAACATTGAGCTACGGATTGTGTTTTGTCTGTCTTTTGCCAAACCACAATGGGAGGTGTTCACTAACACGTTGGCTAAGCTGTCTAGTAGTGCGACCAACATAACTGTCACCGCAGGTGCAGTTGAATTGATGAATACACATAGATGTGGCAAAACTATCAAGCTTATCCTTCGTTTGCGTCCCAATCATTCGTCGGCTAGAGAATGACAGACACAGGTGTGCTGCGTAAAATGTTCTACGTATACTCCTTGAAAGTCTTTGGAATAGAATCTCACTAGATAAGTCCCCATTAAATTATAACTAAATAAATAGAGGTTTCTTATGTGCAGTCGAATTTCAGTAGTACATACATTTTTATGTATAATACTTTGATAAAGCTATTAGCAGAAGCATTAAATAGTGAAACGTCAGTAAAACAATATCGTTTTGTTTTTCATTAATTGGGAAATACAAAAATTAATCTTTATTATAATGTACATACAATTTAATTTAATTTTCCTTTGTTATGGACAGTGAAATTTACTGTCCATGCCTCATCATCCGATTTAGGACTTATCAGCCAGATATACCTACATTTTAGTAGATTATTTTCCGTTTCCATCGCTCAACAAATATGTAGGTAATAATGGAGATAGATCGGTCATACGTTAAAGAGGCCGTCGAATGGCATTAAGCCGCATACAGGCCATCGCTTTAGTGGGTCGTCTGTGCGAGAGTCACATGGAGGAAATCGTGTGAAGAGGAGATGAGAGATTATAGGCGACTGTGAGGCTAGCCAGCTGAAGAGAAGAGCACAAAATAGACCAAAGTGGAGATGTGTTGTTGAAGCCCTATGTTCCACTCGGAACCCAAGGGAACAATTATTATTATTATTATTGTATCCTTTAGTTCCTAGAGGAACACAGGGCTTCAGCTGCGCACCTCCATTTACTTCGGTTTTCTGACAACTTTTTCAACCTGCTCCAGGTCTGTCCACATGCTTTCATCTCCTCCTCGCATGACCTCCTCCAAGTCACCCTTGGACGACCAACTCGCCGCCTCCCTTTCGGGTTCCACTCGAGGGCTTGTCTAGTGATGTCACTCATTTGATGGTTTCCTCAGAGTATGGCCAATCCATCTCCATTTCTTTCTGCCTATTTGTTTCACAATCGGTTCCTGATTGGTTCGCTCCCAGAGATCCCTGTTGCTGAGTTTTAGAAAGAAAACGGAGAACATATACACACTTGTTGCTTTTATTTTTACAATTTTCTTTGGCAGTATATTTACCTGATGGATAACAAATAAAGGGTTTTAAAGAAATCAGTATTTGAATGAATTTACGGCACCACACCACACCAACATGCCCACCTACCTACCTAATGAATGAAATGTGAGTAGACACTCCAGAATAATATTTGGAAGTAGAGAACGCAAATGAAACCGCAATCGACGTGATTTGAACCAGTTGAGTATTGCTTCGGCTTCACAAAGTGCGTCTTTTCTAGCTGTTCAAAATAAATAAATAAGTAAATAACAATGAAACTAAACAAGTTGTAGTAATAAGAAACAGTAGAATGATATGTATTATTCATCTTTAACAAGAGAAAGAAGCAAAACTGTTAGATATTGTGAAATTGTATGGAGAGTAAAACTGTCCAACACTAACTGGAATTCAATAATTCTCTAACTGATAACACAATCACGGAATATGTGTACATTTGATCATAGGGAATAATAAAAAGACAGTTGCAGCGAGGAAGAAAATTTTCTTTTCAACGAAATCATCAACTAGACAGCTGTACATTCATATGTATTTATAATAAATGGGTGGGAAACTTCCAGAATAATTTCCGATCAAGGGTTAAATTAATGAAAATTACAAATAGGAATTAAAATACCATAATAAACAGGGGACAGAAAAAATACTCAAACAAAGTAGCATCATAACTAATGAGAAGATTGACACAGATTGTGCAATTAGGGGTTAGGAATGTAGAAATAACAAAATAGACAGGATGTTTGGATAAAAACTAATGTGATGAATAATTGTTTATGCAATCAGGGATTAAATATGTAGAAATAGTAAAATGGCAAAATAAACACGAAGTTCGGGTATGAAAATATGGTAGTGTAAATAGGAGTTAAGAAAAGCTTAAAATAAGATGAATAAACACGAAGTTTAGATAAGAAAGGCGATGGGATGGTCATTACTAAAAGAATTACCTGTTTATGATGGCCATGGCAGGGACAGGGGTTGGACGTATTTCTTCTGGATGATACAAAGCGTGGGTTTGAGCTTTTGGATAAATACATGAATGTACAGATGTCTAGTTGATGATTTCGTCGAAAAGAAACTTTTCTTCGCTGCAACTGTCTTTTTATTCCCTATGTTAACACAATCCCTATGATAACACTTGAAAAAAGGAATGTTTCCTATGAATTTCTCCAGTTGATGGCCTCCATTGAAATTACTTTTGTTATGACAGTAAACTCGTCAAAATGTCAGCGATCCACTACAGTTTCATGAACTGGACCACTAATAACATTGACAAAGCATCAACTCAGAATACAGGATACAGAATAGGCATTGTATTATCAGGTATTCAATAACTCTGTTACTAAACAATTTTCTAATATTATACAAATAATCTTTGATATTTTGTGCACTGAAGATGAAAGATAATCGTAAGATTTGTAAATTTATTAAACTGCTTACAATATGTATCCAACCATTGAGAGTGTTGTAGAGAATTTTCATGATATGATGAATGACTTTCATCATAGGCGTCGAAAAATGCTTCACCATCTTCATCTTCATCATTGCTACTAACATTTGACGAAGGAATTTTATTATTCTTTGATGTTGTACTCTGTTCACCTTCCCGAGCTATATACATGTAAGAATAATGTAAACAAAAGAAGTTAACATTACGCTTAACCTTCCGAAAACAAATTATCATTTCCTTTAATTTCTAGAGGGAAATAGGGCTTCAGCCGCACGACTCCAATGCGTTCGGTTCACCTGCCTCCAAGTCTGCCCACATGCTTTCATCTCCTCTTCACATGGCCTCCTCCAAGTCACCCTTGCACTGACAACCAAGTCGCGCCGCTCCCCTTTCGGGTTCCACTCGAGCGATGGCTTGTCGTGTGATGTCACTTGATGGTTTCCTCAGAGTATGTCCGTAAACAAATAGAGACAAGAAAACCATTGAAAATTCTATCATAAACTATTATTAATTCAGAAAACAACTCAAACTCAAAATCCACGCCCTAAGTTAAAAATGTTTGCGATCATTTAACCAAAAGGATGCTAAAGCCTATCGAAAGAGCACAGAGACCTGAAGTTGCGCCGCACGATAAATGCAATTATATACATTAGGGTAGATTTCTTGATGAAAAACATCAGTCAGACAATTATTAAAAAGGGGCGTGTTGTAACGGACTGTTATGCAATGTACACTGCTAGTCTTGCGGTTATAAGGCAAAAGATCCACCCCCCCCCACACACACACATCTAAGTTCAAACTTCTGTTAACTCACGATATAGTTGCACCATTACCGTAACCAATCCAAGCCTCTGTCTATCGTATATCTTCACGTGTCATTTGGAAAGAAAATACCTAACCATAACAGAAACACATGGACCACTATAATCTATTTGGTTTATGAGATGTGATTTCAACATCAATTGGATATCTGATGGCACAGCGGTATTATGCTCGCCAACCACGCCTCATGTGCCTCGGGGTTCAATCCCCGGCCAACGCTCTCTTCTACCTAGCTAAGCCAGGAATAAGACTGGTAAAGAGGGAAGGTAGGGAACGAGGCTAGCAACCCCATCCCGTAAAAGTGTTAAACGCCACTGCTACCGGGACTTCAAGCTTCTAGCTGGAAGCCCTATGTTTATTGTTAATGTACTTAACTGGATGCAATATTGTAGTAAAATGCTGAGAATTCCATTCTGTATCACAAGTACTGATTTGGAATAAAGCTTACCTTATCTTATCTTATCTATGTTCCACTGGAAATGTAAAGGGATTTTTAAAGAAAACAACTAACTCCCTAGGTGTTGCTAATAATATCAAGCAACAAAAGGGTGTGTAAATAATAATTTCAACAGGAATAAAACAGACAAAACTACCTTTTAATATACACGCGTTGAATCTATTGAAAACATAATCCAAACTATGAAAAGCATCATTTGGCCAATCATTAAATTTTAATTCGCTAGCAGACATCATTGAACTTTGATTCCACGGCATTAAATTAGGCCTATCATTGCCATCATCATCTAAGAATGATGAAATTGTTTCCGAAGAATGTGATACATTTCGATATACCTCCTCATACAACGATAATGATGGCAAACAAATCAGCCGGTCATATCGAAGTTTTAATTCAATATGGAGTTCATTGAACATTGATTTGATGAGTGGAATGAGTTGAGAACGATCACAATTCTTATAGACAAAAAGATTGCCAATTACTACAGCTAAGCGGTGAATTAAACAGCATGGATTCGGTAGACCAAAATGTGCAGCTAACTTTTTTACCTTGGAGGAAAGAAATGGGATGTGAAACATTAAGAAAGGGAAAAAGTACACACAAAGAGATTAAGACTGTTTGTTTCTAAGCGCTATTTACAGGAGAGCACATTTTAGTACCACTCTTTTGAAGAAATATTTACAGCAGACGGAGCAATAGTAATAAGAAATACAAATTTGTCTATACTTTGAAGGAGAAAGAAGAGGTGCACAATTCTTTGGCGAGAAAATTAAGGTAAGAAAAGTATCCTGGTTGAAAATGGGGAATGCATCAAAGTTACTCCCGACATATATGAAGCAATGTTTGGACAATGGTGGAATCATCACACCAACTAAGCTGACAGTCACAGGTATATTATTAGACTAAAAACGTTCTGAAACATGCATATAACGCTTGACTCACAACTGTCTGTCTCTATATATGCTTGTTTGGTGTTGTAACGGCATATGAGAAGCTTTAATTTGGCTTGATCTAAAGTAATCCTGAGAAAAGAAGACAACGAAGTATAACTTGTGGTTTAGAGTAAAAAGATAACAATAATCGATGACTGGAGGGAGGTACAGTGGAATAATCAGAACCAACTGTAATTAGAATGAGAGACGTTCAGTTAATCCTTTGCAACATGGTGTTAACCATGCATTCTTGTCTTAGTTATTTATACAAGGAGGGAATAAGTCTTTCTGACTGGAAAAGTTGTCAAATTTTGACTAAAGAATGAGAATCCAAATTTAAGGAAATAAAAATTTGTTTGGAACCAACAGGAATGATGAAAATCAAAATTTATGCATTGAGGCATTGTTGAAAAACAGTGATTAGCAAGCAGAGCTTGCGTATGACGAATTTTTGGTACACACATTCAATAGAACCAACAACTAGTGAAGAACAAAACTTTCGTACGACGAAACAATTCGGTGGAACTGTCTATACAAATCTCTCTATTGATAGCGAGAATATTCGAGATATTCATCCATTAGAAGATAACTCTATTTAGGTAACGTTTAATCAATAAAGCTGAAATGAAAATCTGGTTGGTGGCAGGATTCGAACTGTAGGTTTTCTCATTACTACAGGGTGTCATCCTTAACCTTGGGTTAGCAATCCAAAGGCTTTCGGTTCGAATACTAACACGACCTATATTTTCATTTCCCCTTGAATCACCACTAATTATTTTCTCAAACGCAAACAAAAGTGGCATTATATACATACATACACTGAACCTTAATAATAATAATAGTCTACTTTATTCCAAAAACAGCACTTATAATACAGAATGGAATTCTCAACATTTGTCACAATATTTCATCTGATTTACTCAAAAAATATAAATAAATTATAACAAAATTAACCAGAGGAATTTGTCCACATTTACGATATAAAGAAGTCAAAAATATTCGAAGTACGAATTGAGACCATTAAATATGATAATAATAATTATTATTATAATAACAGTGAGTTTGTTTCAGACAGTATTGTAGATTCAGTTTGGAAACTTTAGCATGTTATAGATTATTGGATCTAACGTTCTGTTGATATAAGTATAGTGAGGGGAAATACAAAATTAACAGTGGTAACACAGCTTAAACGATGTTCACACTTATGAAAAATTAATAAATAAAAACAAAAAATTGAGAGGATTATAAATATAAGAAATACAATAACAATAAAGTTTGGTACTGTAAGGGTGGAAGAAATGGATTATTTAATAGTACAAAGAAGGTTAGTTAGTTCATGCCTGACACCATTTTCATCACATAAATATGGTATAGTGAAATTTTTATACTTAGATGTACGTGCATGAATTCTTCTGAAAAGACTTCTTGTTTTACCTGAGGAGACACGAGGTTGGAGCTGCGGGTGGAGTTGGTGCTCAGAGTCTGACAAAATTCCTTTAGCGAATTTGTTGCATGACATCGAGTGTCTATCAGTGACAATGTCAACGATATCGCCCAATGAGATACCACTCCTCCAACTGACTGACAGTTTACAGAGTTCTAAGAAGTATAACATAGTCTTTTTTAAGCAATCCAGGAAAGAATAAGGGTGAACAGTAAAGAAGAATAGGTAAAATACGCCAGTTGACAAACTGTAAGAGGAGTGGTTGAGTTATGCCTGAGTGCCTCAACTTCTTAATGTAAAACGTCAGACGAAATATTCTTTTAGAAATCACTAAGACATGGGAAGACCAGGATAGGTCAGAAGAAAGAATTAATCGAAGATACTTAATTTCAGACTTGATTTCAATATTAGTATCATCAATTTTGCGAGGGTCATAGGAACCAACGGTTTCATTTAACTTTCGTTTACATCGGAAAACTGAAATTAATAGTCTGACGTTTGGAAAGATTTAGTTTAAGGCCGTTAGACGAAGACCATTTGTTAATTCCTGATAGAAAGCTGTTCATCTTAGCACAGACAAGCTGGGAGTTAACAGACATTGAAATAGTCAATTCGCTCGCATACTTAACAAAATTCATTTCATCAGAGTGAGGCAATTCATGCAAAGAGAAAAAAAAACAGAAAAGGAGAAAGGACAGCGCCTTGAGGGACATCAGCCTCAGTAAGCAACGAAGTGGACGACTTTCCCTGACATACAGTGTACTGCTTTCTTCCTGAGAAATAAGAATGCGGCCATTTGACAACCCAATAGTCAGTTTGAGTTTCAGCAAGCTTGTTTAACAAAATATCCCTAAGTACTCAGTCGAAAGAAGATGCGTAATCTAATTAAGCAACGAGACAAAATTTCTAGTGAAGTCGTTATTTCACTACAATTATGAAAAAAGTGATAACAATAAGACACAAAAGTAACTATCATGCAGAATGTGTGAATAAACAAAACATTGGAGCGTCAACCCGAGTGTCATATGGTGTGTATCATTTTGTAATATTCCTTCAGGATTCTAGGCATTCGTTCGTGTGTATTTTGATCTCCAGTGATATTTTGGTTAACACTCAGACAAAAAATTGAACCGGTGGTCCAAAATGGTTGAATGTTGGCTAACCTCTCTCTACCCAAGAGGGCGGGGTTTGATTCCTCAACTGAGACAGTCTTCTTAACCTCAGCTAGTCAGTGGTAAGGAAGCCCAGAAAAGAGAGGAGGGGTTGAGGAGTAAGGTTAGCAATCACCTCTTGTAATAATTTTGTTTTAAAAATATCACCGCTACTGAAACACTACCCAGCTTAAATCCTGATGACCTACACAACGAACACACGGAATGAAAACAAAACAAAACAAACAAACACACACACACACAACTTACATCTGAATATGATAACTGTTTACGATTCCAAAATAATAATTCATGTGAAGTAGGATTTGTAAAAGGAGATGTTAATTCACTCCGAAGAACCTTATTGCACAAACCTTCAGAATCAGCGTCTGGAAAAAGAAACTAAATAGTATTCGAAACAAAGATTAAGTGTATTGTCAAGGAATTCATTTAGACTGAAGTGATCTAATTTACTAACACGTGTACACTTTTAAACATGTAATAAATAGATGAGAAAGGTATTCGTGGTCAGGGTAACAATACCCTGAATATTAATAATAATAATAGTAATAACAGTAACAATAATAAGGGAATATAAACATTAAAATATTCCCTTTATCCACAAAGTTATAACGAAATCAAAGGTTCATTCAGTTTTTTCCAGCGTTTGATTACGTAATGAATGAATCAAGAACAATACTCACTCAGCCGAAAGATATCCTCAGTTGAATAAGAGAACACCATATGAAATTAATTCACATAGCTGCATTTCAAAAATCGTCTACAGGTTTATCCAGACAGTAGCAAACTGGAACTAATCTACTTTTGTTAATCCAGACTCAAAGAGGGCAAAATAAAAAGATAATGAACATAGCTAAAGAATGTTTTCGTTTTTCTTACATGACTTGCCTCATTCTGATGTAGCCACTTTTGTCAAGTATGCCGATGACCTCTCGGTTTCTATGCCTGTCAACTCTCAGTTAGATTGTTCCAAATTAAATAACTTTCTGTCGGAAATTAGTCAGTGGTCCTCTTCAAACGGAGTTAAGCTTAATCCGTCTAAATGTCAGGTAGTCAATTTCACTTTCAGAAGTAAATGTGACCTACAACAACTAGTTAGCTCACATGGCCCCACTATCATTGGCAGCACAGAGGTTGAAAATACATCTCTAATGTCAAGTACCTTGGGCTGAGTTTTTCCACCGATCTTTCCTGGTTTTCCCACATCTTGCTATTTACTAGAAAGATGTTTCGCTTAACGTTCTACATTAGGAAATTTAGACAGCCTGGCATAAAGCAGTCTTTGCTTTCTCAGTTTGTAAATTCTTGTATTCTACCCATCCTCCTTTACTGCTCTCCATTAATCTTTCCTGGACTACTTAAGAAAGACTTTGCTTTGCTGAGAAGGGCAGGCACTAAAAGCAGTTAGTAGGGCAAGTGGGATATCGTTAAACCAACTGGTTAACACTATTGTGGATAGACATATAATGTCATGTAAGAAACTAGCGAATACAATATTGTCAGACCCCGAGCATCCTCTCTATACGCAGTTCTCTCCTTGCATTTCATCTGGTAGGACTAGTGTGGTGAGAGCAGGCTGCTAGCCGATTGGTTGGCACTAATCTACGTTAAGGTCTAGGTCACTAATATGGGCCGTGAGAAAATATGAACAAGCCTGAGTCAACAACCAATCACAGCAAAGTTAACGTGGCAAAATATGATTCGCAGATAGAGAACTCTATTTGTCAAGGAATCCCGAAACAACCAATCAGAAGCCTGCGTTTGTCTACCTAAACAACCAATCAGATGACTGCGCTTGTCTATAATAATGTAGTTGAAAGATGTATAAATACGTGTTGATTTTCATAATAAAACGATCTGTTGCTTCGCCCTTGTCTTCTGTTGTTACATTTGGTGTCGCTGCCTCCAGAAAATGAAGATCCCGTGGCCAGCTGCGTTTGAAGAAGGAGACATAAGGAGCTTCTTACGTGACTTCGAGGCTGTTGCTGAGCTGGTGGGTGTCAAGGAGCAGGCAGCGAAGGCAGTTGTCTTGGGGACGCTGTTGAGAGGCCGAGCGAAGGCTGCATATGACAGCGTAGACAGGTCAAATGGCACAGCGTCTTGGAAGAAATTGGTTGAACGACTAGTTCCCGAGTTTGACAGCGAAACAGACAGACAGCTAGCAATGCAGCAGTTCCGGTCAATGAAGCTTGGACCTGATGGAGACCCGCTAGTGTTGGCGGTGAAACTGACTAATCTACTTCGACGCGCACTTCCCACTTTAGATGAAGAATCAGAAGCGCAGTTACTGTCTTCCCAATTCATCGAGAGTGTCCCAGACCACATTTCTCAGCGATTACAACTGGTTAACGCAACGCAGCCGATGGATATTAGCGAGCTGGCGAAGGTGACCAGACAGCTGCTGAGCACAACGGTAGCCGCTATAGACCAACCAAAACCAAACGAGTATGAGCAGAAAATTGAAGCATTGCAGCGGGAAGTGGCGGCGTTAAAGTTGGCTGATAGAAAAGACCGGTGTTTTGAATGCGGTAAGCCGGGACACTGGAGAAGATACTGCCCAGAAAGGCGGAAAAGAAAAAATTTCAGACGGTATAATGCTTGTTCTTTCTTTCGTATGAACCTAGATTTAGTGGGGGCTATTGAGAAAGGCGCTCTGTATTCGAAGTTGCGAGTGAATGATCGAGAAGTAGTATGTTTGATAGATACAGGGGCGGCCGTGTCGTTAATAGATAAGAATTTATGTAAGAGTGTTAGCCCGTGTTCATTGACAGTACAAACAGTAGGCGGGTATGTGTTGCGTATCACGGGTAGATCGAACTGTACGGTCGTTGTTGGTGGCTGCGAGGTGACGTTTCCTTTCATTGTTGTACCCGAACTACAGCGAACGATATTAGGAGCGGATTTTCTGCGTGAGATTGGTGCCATAATCGACACGCAAGCGAACGTGGTGGTCACGAAATACGGGCATATCAACATGTATGAGACCAGCGAGATAGCAGCGATTAAGCTGCCGACGGTACACAATGTGACAGAGTTAATTAGTAAATACGATCATCTGTTCACTGGAGATGGCGACCCATACGGTTATTGCGATAAGGTGAATCATGAAATTCCGTTAAGTGATCCGAAAGTAAGGTCATTTACAACGCGAAGAGTTCCATGTCATCTGGAAGGCGAAGTGGAGCGACAAGTGCAAGAGATGTTAAAAGATGACATTATTGAGGAAGCTGATAGCCCGTACAACTCTCCAGTGCTGTTAGTAAAAAAAGCGAATGGGAAGTATAGATTCTGTGTTGATTTTCGACAGTTAAACAGTATGACAGAGTTAAGACCGTGTGCCATGCCAACAGTGGTAGAAACTTTAGATCGCCTACAAGGTGCGAATGTGTTTTCGGTTCTCGATCTTCGCTCAGGATACTGGCAGATACCGATAAAACAAGGTGATAGAGATAAGACGGCTTTCATCGTGGGTCAGACACAATATCGATTTAAACGCATGCCGTTTGGACTAGCAGGTGCACCGTTTACGTTCAGACGACTGATGAAGCTATTACTTAGGAACTTGAAAAACGTGGAGGTTTATGGTGATGATCTCGTCATATACAGTCAAAACGAAAACGATCACGTCAACCATGTAGAAGCCGTGCTGCGACGCATCGAAGAGTTTGGACTACGCGTCAACAAAACCAAGTCCCAGATAGCCAAAAAGAATGTTACTCTGTTGGGACATAAAGTGGGAAATGGTGAGATTAAACCACTGCCGGAGAAAATTTTGACGATTAAAACGATTCCAGCCCCGAATTCAAAGAGAAAACTGAGACAATTCTTGGGTAGAGCAGCGTTTTATAGCCGCTTCGTGAAGAACTTCAATGAGATAGCAGCCCCTCTATACAGGCTACTAGGTGAGCCAAAGTTTGTTTGGTCGGAAGAATCGCAGAGGACATTCGACAGAATTAAACAGCTGCTCGACCACCAACAAATGACGCTAAAACTACCTGTGCCAGGAAGACAGTTCACAGTGTGCACAGATGCCAGTGACTACGCTATAGGTGCGGTCCTAAGACAGGACGAGGGAATCGTTGAGTATGCCAGTAGGGTTTTGACACTCGCAGAGAGAAAGTATTCAACGATAGAGAAAGAATGTTTAGCAATGGTATGGGCAGTCGACAAATGGAGACCTTATTTACTCGGCCGGCGGTTCCACATCGAAACTGATCATAAGCCGCTACAATTTTTGAAGACAGCGAGAGACCCACGGGGGAAGTTGTCACGGTGGATGTTGCGTCTTCAGGAGTACGATTTTACGATCTCACACGTTCCTGGAAGTGAAAATGTCTTGGCAGATTTGTTATCGAGACCAGAAGATGAGTCTGAGTTGCCCGAGGTCGCTTACGGAGTGCATGCAGTAGAACAAGACCCACTAAGACTTGCACGTAGGCAGAGGTTGGACGATACGCTGAATACAGTAATACAGGTGATCACCAACGGAATAGAAGTGGATCAAACTACGGCGAGTAAGGAGCTAACCACACTACTCAGACAGAGGGATCGACTCAGAGTGAATGCCTACGGGACTCTGACCTGGCGAGAGAACGACGGAAGCTGGCTGGCTGTCATACCTCAATCGTCGCGCCACGACATGATAGAAGAATGTCACCAGCTAGCGCATACAGGCGTGGCCAGAACGACCGATCTCCTAAGACAAAGTATGTACTGGCCAGGTATGAGAGAAGACGTAGCAAGATACGTACTTGGATGTCCACGGTGCCAGCTGATGAAAGGTGACCGGTGTATACGACCACCACTTCAGTCGATTCCAGTTACCGCGATAGGTGACTTGTGGTCCGTAGATGTCATGGGTCCATTTCCTCAGACATCCAATGGTAATCAGTACCTCTTGGTGATGACGGAACACGCGACACGATGGGTAGACGCCGTAGCAATCCCAGACCAACGTGCAAGAACCGTGACAGATGCAGTAGTTAGACACATTGTTGCAGACCACGGCGTACCGAAGACAATACTGACAGACCAAGGTCCCTGTTTCGAGAGTGAAGAGTTTACTTCCCGTTTGCAACAGCTGGGCATCAAGAGGATCAGAACGACCCCATACCATCCACAAACGAATGGCCTAACGGAGAGAAACAACCGTACACTGAAGGAGTGGCTGGCCTCGAAGGGCGGGAACTGGGAAACGGAGCTTCCACTGATTTTACTAACACATCGGGCTACCACTCAGGAAACAACGAAGAAGTCACCCTTCCAACTGATGTATGGTAGAAAACCACGATTACCGGTACACAATGAGACCTGGCCCATGCACCAAAAGTGGAGTACGACGAAATTAAAAGCAGAGAGGAAAGAGGCAGTCAAGAATGTAATACGGAAGCAGCGCAGTGATGTCATGAAGTCTCAGATGAAAGAAAGGACGCAGTGCATTACCTTTGCAGTCGGGGACCAAGTGAAGTGTAGAGACAGGAGATATACAGTTGGAGGCGGGCTAGGTTCACGGAAACTCCTTCCAAAGTGGGAAGGACCATACACAATCACAAAAAGACGGGGTCAAGTATATACCATCCGAAGAGGTGATAAACAGAAACGAGTTAACGCCAGTCAGCTCCAAAGATGGGTACAGTGGGACAAGCCGGTCAGTAACAATCCTCAACTAGAGGATGTAGCACCCAGAAGGTCGGAACGTCTGCGCACGAAGCTATTTGACGGGGGGACGAGTGTGGTGAGAGCAGGCTGCTAGCCGATTGGTTGGCACTAATCTACGTTAAGGTCTAGGTCACTAATATGGGCCGTGAGAAAATATGAACAAGCCTGAGTCAACAACCAATCACAGCAAAGTTAACGTGGCAAAATATGATTCGCAGATAGAGAACTCTATTTGTCAAGGAATCCCGAAACAACCAATCAGAAGCCTGCGTTTGTCTACCTAAACAACCAATCAGATGACTGCGCTTGTCTATAATAATGTAGTTGAAAGATGTATAAATACGTGTTGATTTTCATAATAAAACGATCTGTTGCTTCGCCCTTGTCTTCTGTTGTTACACTAGAACCAGCTATAGGAGGGTGGCTATATGCTAGGACTACCAAATACAAAAACTCCACAATACCATATCTGGCACAGCTGTTATGTGATGAGAAATCCGTTAGATATGACACGATAAACTTACTGCGGCACTCTAACAAATAGTCCCATTAGTTTTTGTTTTCCTTTCCTCGTTATTATTACACTGTTGTTCTCATCTTCTATTACACACCAATTTTATATTTCACATCCTGTGGTGCATTGTTTGAAATGTAAACTATACGCTGTTTTTTTATTTATCTTTTATTTTTTTGGCGTTGGTTTTTATTTATTTATTTTAAAAATCTTATATAATTTATGAGGTAATTAGATGCAATATACTGTAATGCACGCTGAAAATTCCATAACTGTACCACAAATACCGTTTGGAATAAAGCTGTTATTATTATTATTATTATTATTATTACTATTATTCATAATCACATCAATGTGAAGACCTGATTATGTCGGAGCGAAAAATGGCGCTCGAAACGTCGTGCAGTTATTAACACTGAAGCTCTGTGTGCTATACCAAATATAACTATTAATTACTTATCGACTAAGATAGTCAGGACATGTATTACGTATGCTTAATCATCGCCCTCCGCCGACGGGCAGTGTTAGCTGATACAGGATTGATCAGGTTGGAAAAGAGCTAGTCAATGGTGGTCAAACCAAAACATGGCTTCAAGAGTCAACGAAATCCACAACAGTTAATATAAGCCAACCAGCCACGTGACGTGTTAAACTGCTGTCTGGTTGAGGTCCTCGGGACGGTAAAAACCGATGGTTGAAGGCAGTTGTTGGCATGGCTCAATATCGTTCTCGATGGTGCAGATGGTGCATTCACTCTTTGTAATTTATCACATCCAATAAAAATTTACTGTTCTTCCATATTTCTATTCATTTTCCATCACTGAAACTTCTGTTTACTATCTCCCTTTTGAATCTCCCCTTTACTCTCTTCTATTTCTTTGTGGGCAACTCGAACAGCTACTTATCTGTGCCAATCTCTGCGTTAACACCAGTCAGTCAAACACTTATCAAAAATGAAATTATGTATCACCACAGTGACTTTGTTGTACAAAGATAGAATTCACCTTGCTCACAGAGTTTTCACTGTCTTAAGAAAATCTAAGACAGACCCTTTTTTCTGATGCCCCAATGTATCTCCTATGGAAGTTACACGTAAATTGATACACACAGTTGAAGCTAACAACAAAGGAAGGGTATCTGTCGACTTTTTACTGCATCAGCGAACATATCTGGCGCACAGGAACCAACCGAGTGGGATTAAATATCCCAGCCTATAACTCTTCAAGTCGTTTCGTGATTATCTCTGCAGTGTCATTACCTTTACATTTTAGGTGGATGAATAATTGAGGTAATTTAATCACCTTATATCCGTTTTTTCTTCCAAAATCTGTCAATAAATCTTTGCGGATATCTGTTCTTTTGTACACACTAACATGATTCGCAGAGCATCCTTCAGTTTTTATGTTCGAGCTATATTATTCTCACCCTAATAAATAATTATTTTAATTACTCCTTGCTTGGGTTTAATCGAATCAGCCTGTTGATATCCAAGTAACTTTCACTCCACTTACTTTCTCATTCATAGGTCTTTGTAGTAAGCCATATCTAGAAGGCTGAATTTTCTGTCCACTTCATAATCTATGGTAAAATTAATTTTTCTTTGTGGGGTGTTCTGAAGAGATTTATAGCATCGTTTGATGCAACTCTTTCTCACTCCACTCCACTTACCGCCTTTTTGAAACTATGAGTGCGATAAACCAGAATTCCGACCTTTACTGGGAATGCACTAATGACATACAACTCTAGTTTAGAAAATACGCTATCGTCAGATTGATAGGATAGAGATATGAAGTTCAAAAGGGTTTCACCCGCAGTGACGGATATTTTCATGGAAAACATACGGGACAATCAGAGAAATGATATTTGTACACAAGGTATGCGGATGATACCTTTATTGTACGTGATGTGATTCACCTCACGCATCCCGTTTATTGATAACTTTAATAATATTAATAGACTAGAATTGAATGTCACGGTAGTCAGTTCTATTTCTCATGAGGTTGTAGGCGTGTTGCGTTGTGAATATCCTTACAGTACAGTGGAAAAGTTGTCCAATGTTTTTTTCAGTCTTCAACAGACAATCCATGATGAAAGATAAACTTTATTATCATGAGAAATATTTTGACAACCATTTATGCCCACATGGAAGAAATAACCAAAAATAGTAAATCATAAATCCTTACTAGGAGAAATTGTAGAACAGAACTGCTTGAGAGATTGTTATCTAAAGAAGTGAAGAGTAACAAACAGACAAAACAAAGTATTAGCGTCGAACTATTCCTGAACATATGAATAATAAAGCTGAAATAGACTTTTCACTAACGGTAAACAAGAAGTCTATTTATACATACATACCCTCCGACAGACTCTAGAACATAGACACACTTTTCGGCGTTCAACAATTGCCATATTTCTTGACTTGAAGGTGACCTTCGACTCCGTGGATCGAAAGGCACTATGGCAATGTTTGACTGTGAAGGGAGTGCCAAGAAAGTACATTGCACTAATCAAGCCACTCTATTCAAACTCACATAGCCATGTAAGGGCTTATGTGGAATTGTCATCTGAATTGATAACAACCACGGGTGTCCGACAGGGATGTCCACTTTCCCCATTCCTGTTTAACTTCATCATAGGTATGCTAATGGAAGCATCCTTAACTGAACGTAACGACTTACGAATCGACTTGTTACCAGGGAATAAATAGTCTTTTGGACTAAGAATATGCAGATGACATAGTCCTGTTAGGGGAGTGTGCTGACAAAATAGAGCAGAGTCCTCTGAACACCTTGAGCAGCAATCTTCCTATGTTTGGCATACGATTCACCCTTGTAAAATGTAAGATGCTACTACACGACTGGACTACATCAACTCCTAGCTCAGTGAAAGGGAGTGAAGTAATAGAAAATGTTGACCACTTCACCTATTTGGGAAGTTGTATCAGCACCAATGGACTCATTGCCGAAGAAATCTCAGCACGGATTCAAAAAGCTCGAGCTACTTTCGCTGACTTACACCATCTCTGGCGTAGGCGTGATATCCGGCTATCAACCAAGGGACATGTGTACTGCTCAGCACTTCGCTCCGTCCTCCTCTATGGCTCTGAAACATGGCCAATATGAGTTGAAGACATGAAATGGTTGACTGTTTTCGATCATAGATGTCTACGATCTCTTTCTCACGTTAGGTGGTTTAATAAGGTAACTAATGTTGACGTTAGGCGTAGAGTGTTGGCCAAACGCGGAAAATCAATCGATGAGGCTATCAAGTTACATAGATTGAGATGGCTAGGTCACGTCCTGCGCATGACTAACCATCGCCTCCCCCTCCCCGACGGGCATTACTAGCTGATATAGGTGTAGGTTGGTAAAGAGTAAGTCGTGGCCAAACAAAAACATGGCCTCATCAATCCATGAAATCCTTGACAGTTAAACTGAGTCAGGTAGGGAGATGCAGACTCCCGGGTTGGGGTCCTCCGGACTCTAAGAATCAATGGCTGGAGACAATAGGTAACATGGCTCAAACTCATCGTTGTCAATGGCCAGCGCAGATGTATTCAGTCTCTGTAATCTTTCATATTTCTTTCTACCATTACTCATTCTGTTTCACTCTTATACTTGTCAAACTCTATTGATTCTCTTCACTCATCTTCTTGTCTACCTTTGTGTGCTATTTGGAACGTGGCAACTCAAACTGGTGCACTTCGGTGGCAAGTTCTATGTTGAATCCATACAGACAGACAGATATACATACGACTGCAATTCAAGGGCGATATATACCTAGCGAAATATTGACAATGAAATGAACAAAATCAGTTCAAAGAACTTTTAATGCTCACAAGCTACAAGTCATATCTTCTACACGAGCGATATGGTGATTTCTCAAATGAAAGATGAAATACCTGGACTAACCATTTCTAAATGTATTTACCAATTCAAACGCTCTTGTAGAGCGAGTTACATTGGCTGTTACTTCAGAAACTTGATTTTTCGTGCTCTCTCGGGAACATCTACCAGTGTAGCTAGATAACGATGTAGTTAGAAACACCAATACCTTCATACTGAACACCTGGTCCAAACCGACCACAAAGCTAATATTGAAAAGAATCATTCATTCTCCATCATCTACCAGCTACCAAATAAATTTCCAAAACCATCCAGATACCGCATACTTAAAACAGCAGAGGCTATCGCGATTCGCGTGAAACAACTGGTGCTCTGTGTGCGAAAGAAGTGCAAAAGTCCAGCTAGCCACTACCACTGCCGTAGCCGACCTTTAGTGGGGACTATAAATGCATGAATTTGTTTGGTTAGTTTTCTTAATTTTTCTGATATTCAGTGTATATTGTTATGTTGATGCTATTGAACTGTAATCGATTGATATTATTGATTCGATTTTATTTAAACAACAACATTAATGTTGTGAAGTAAATATTATTTTAAAGGAAAGAGTTTACAGATTCTCTCAGATTCTTCTACACTTTTGTTTATTTAACAGGAAACTGGATAAATCTTTCAGTGACAAAAAACAGATACAAAAAAAAACTAATTCCAATCTTCTCAAGCCCCTAAATTACAAATTCAATAATTATCACAGATAAGTTGGTGAAATCTTTTTCGGTGTACTTTTTTTCCAGTTGTTTCTTCAAAACACTTTTCATCTTCAATACTTCACCTGCTTAAAGCAATTAGCTCTTTGTATGAATTTCAAGAAAGCAGTAAGGTGCAACACACTTCACATATTCTGATCACACACGTACGTATTTCTCAGACATATATATATATATATATATATATATATATATATATATATATATATATATATATATACGTTAATAGAGTATAAAAGATTGATTCTGAATAAACGTTTGGGCGGCGGGAGGGGTGAGGTGCAAAACTACACATAAGACATAAGAAGAAAACGGTGGAGATGTCAATAAGTGCGGTGTTGTTAATTTATACGGCGCGGGAGTGTTGCCAGCTTTTCATACCCAATCTTTCCTCTTTTTTTAGAGGGTTTACGATCGGCTCTAAGCGAGGTTTAGGAATGTGTTAGCCGCGTATCGAAACCCGGATCACGTTCATGGTTGGTGAGCATTTGTATCAGTGAAGCTATCCAAGCACAAAGCGTTATCCACCAGACCACTTGAAGCACAGAAGTGTTTAGCTCGAGGTCTTGCCAACACTAGGACTCGGGTCTCTAGATTCAGAGTCCATAATGTTGTCCTACACACACACACAACGAAGTTTATAAAAATAAACTATTCCAATTAAAATCTTCATCCAGATTCTCCACGCTGATTTAAACTATTGATAAAAATAGATTGGACTATACAAAAACTAATTAACAATATAGCGAACATATATTAACAAAAAAAAACAAAATTATGGTTTACGTTACCATTCATTTTATACTAACTACCTGATGAGAAATCGGTAGGCTGACTTGATTTATCAGAAAGGATATGATCTGGTTCCAAAAGACGTTGAATCCGTTTACCTGAAATACAATAGGTACCAGTAGACTCTCTCTTCAATAAAAAGTAACAGATAAGATGACAACACTGCATATTACTTGCTACTAAGTAGTTATCTTGAAGTATTAGGACAGTACTCGAGATAGACTTAAAAACTCTATAACCGGGAACAAAGATTTCTCATGTATCCGACTACTGTATGGGCGATCTGTATCCGTTGTGAGATTTCGCCAGCGATCAACCAGTTGGCGTTGGCTGATGCAACTTCCCAAATAAGTGAAATGGTCAACGTGCTCTACCACTTCACTCCCTATTTCTAAGCTAGGAGTCAATGTAGTACAGTCGAGTCCTATAGCATCATCTTATATATGGCAGCAGATGATGCCCGTTTGAACATTCTTAGCTTCATAAACTGTATATTTATACTGTTATGCTTTTTATTTCTGACTGCATATTATACATATGCATTTATACGTCTATATACTAATCATGTCACCACCCATCCATCGTAATTAGTTACCAGTTCATATCATATCAATTTTCTGATATGATTGAGAACAATAAGTGAATTGTGTTCGAAACTGTGTCATCCAGTAAATAGTAATACTGTTTCACTCACTGTGTGATACATCTAATAAGTAAGACTAATATGGAATTACTTACTACTACAGTGGCCAATTTTTACACATATATTAACATGACTGAAGTTATTTTTGAATTTCGCATCAACCTGAAAACATCTTAGAAGTGTCCACACGCTAGGAGGCAACATGCCGACACAGAGATCAAGCAATTTGATGCCATTATTACTTATATAACTAGCATCCGTATAAACAGATTAGGCAGGTAGGTAGGTGTAGAAAACAGTAAACGCCAACTTACTCATTCTATCAACAAATGGACTAGTTGAGCACATTTGTAATTGCCATTCTGGAGCACCTTCAGGTTTTAGAGATCTATAATGCAGAAAAAAACCATATAAGAGATGTGAAGTAACTTTGCCGATTAACAATTAACAATATACTGATGTGAGACTACCTGAGGTGGTCTAGGATATTGGGAAAATGCTAAGCGTCGTAATAAGTGAAGATTGATATAAGTTTAAAACTTGGGCACTATGGTTGTAGAGTATAACTCTTTTTATGGATAAAATTTTATTTTGATCAACTGTCACACAGTGTGTTACACAGCAATAATATTAACTGATGACCACGTTTCGAGCACAATTCATTACTGTTCATAATCATATCAAGTCACTACTCATACAAAATTTGTCCTTCATTCATACACATGTGTGGAATCGATTAGATGTTGGAATAAAAATCAATATAGGATAATGTACATACATTCAGAATTACTAATATGAGTGTTATTGAACAAATACAATCAGATGGGTAATAAGACGAGTGTTCTTATAGTCATAATAAGCAACTTGTTAGAATGTTGTGATGTACGTGAACTGAATTGGAATAGAATTTTAAGATTATTTATTATCCTCTTCTGATTTGGCTGGTTGGCGATAATAGTATCTTCCATATTTCTGGTATTTGCATTGAGTCATTCCTATTGCATGTGTTACGTGTAGACTAAAATATATGGTCAATGACAAAGATTATATAATTGTTGTTGAAACATCCAAAAAAGTTAGAGAATCAGCCTTAAAAAAATCAAAAACCATAGAAATCAAAAAATTCAACAAACTAATAGAAGAAAAGAACAGAATACATGAAACTGACGTCAACGTTTCGTCCTCTATTGACAGAACAAAGTGGGTGATCAACCTCTCATCAAGGGAACTAAGCTATAGTGAGCTCTGTGCGTCGATGGCACAGTGGTTAGGACTCTTGCCGACCAGGCAAATGGTTCAAGGTTCGATCCTCTGCCGACGCACACCTGATATCTATGGTTGGTCTGCAAAATTTGGGCTACCGATACCACATGCTGAAAATTCCACACTCGTACTGAAAATACGGTGTGGCATCAAGCTGTAATAAAACTAAAAATAAAAAAAATAAAAGTACTTGAGGAAGGACTAAATTTCAATGTAACAGTAAGTAAATTAAAACCAGAGGATGTCATCCCTAACATAGAAGTAGCACTAAGCTCAATAGATAAGACGACAGCAGAAGAGGTTCGAGCACAATGTGCATTAACCCTGAAAAATCAAAAGAAGGCGAAATCAAACTTAACAACATCAGAAAGACTAGCTCGAATTAGTCTAAAACAAGATAAAAACATTGTCATCGCAAAAGCTGACAAAAGAGACTCTACAGTAGTTTCGGCTAAATCTGACTATATCAAAAAAGTCACTGAACACATTGAGACGGGTCCATATGAGGAAATTAAGAAGCCTGTAGATGCAATAATGAATAAGGTTAAAAAAAACCTACGGCGGAACTAATACGCAGAATGAAGCCGTCACTGGCCAATTCCACACATGTATATAGAAGTAAGGAAAAAAGTTATGTGAGTAACTTCATATGATATGGCAATAATAATAAACTGTGCTTGAAACGTTGTCATCAGTTAGTATTAGTGTATAGCACTGTGTGATTTATCAAAATAAAATCTTATCTATAATGGAGGTGAAGATTGAAATAGGATTGAAATAGCGCAATTCGACCGCACCGATGACCTGGAAACGCTCAGTGAACAAGATAGTGAAACCTAGTAAATAAAATTGCAATCATGAATAAAAATGTGCTCAATGAAGTGTTATGTTATTAAATGGGATATCTGGCAAGTTTCAGGTTACGTCTGGAAAAGATTAAGTTATGGTTTTAGGCTAAGGACACGTTAGGGTTAGGTTAACCTAATGAGGTCGACATTAGAATCAGAATAGGGTCAGTTTATGGATATTTTCACGTTAGGTTTAAGTTAAAGAAAAATGAGAGTTATAGTTAGGGTTAGAAGACCTAGATAAATTTATGCATAGAACGTAGTTAAATTACTCTGTTGATACTCCCATTCAATACTGAGAGGTATTTTTGTCACGACAGAGGAAGGTATCCTGTGTCTGTCTAACAAATTCATGCCTTTTTATTCATTATTTTCATGAATACATGTATCTTGTATCTAGGCAAAATTGTCTATATCATATCATGTGGTTGGTGCGTTCATGGTCATTTGTCTGTTGATACTTATCGGTGCCTACAGATTAACTTTGCCGTAAGAAAAATAGGCTAGTTAGACAATTCGTTAGTGCAAGTTGCCAAGTGTATTATTAACGGTTATATCAACTAAACTAGACTGTCTGTCTGTTTTCGACATAGAACTTTGCACATATGTGCCGAAGTTCAAGTCCCACACTCCCTCCTTGTACCACACAAACCAAGAGAAGAAATTCGAGAAAAGCATAATAGAGACAGGAAACAGATGTGTGAGACAAAGGAAGAGTAATAACGAAGAACAAAACAGTTTCATTGGAAATCATAAGTCGCAAGGAGTGGATGCATCTGCACCACCCATTGAGAACGATTTTCAACCATGTCACCAATTGTTTCCAACCATTGACTTTTACCATCCCGAGGACCCCAACCAGTCAGGAAGTCTACACCCTCCTACGTAGCTGACTTAAACTAACTGTTGTGGATTTCATTGAGTGGTGACATGTTTTGGTTTGACCGCCGCTAGCTCTTTTCCAGCCTGACCCTATATCAGCTAACATTACCCATTGTCGAAGAAGGCGATGACTAGGCATACGTAACATATGTCCTAACCATCTCAGTCCATGTAACTTCACAACTTCGTCGATTCATTTCCCCTGTTTACCTAGAACTCGACGCCTAACCTCAAAATTGCCTACCTTATTGTGCCACTTCACACGGGAGATCGAACGCAGCCACCTATGATCAAAGAAAGCTAATCTTTTCATGTCTTCCACTCTCAGTGGCCAAGTCTCACAGTCATAAAGGAGGACGGAGCTAACTTATGAGCAGTACACACGTTCTTAGGTCGATAGCCAGTCGAATATCTCGTCTAAACTAAACTAGACTGTTATAAATATGCTTACATAATCACCTCACAATATTTGTTTGTCTTTTTTCGTATTAAATGCCTAGAAAACTTTGGACTCTTAAAGAGTAATCCAGTAATTGGTGTATACTGTATGGAACGAAGGTACCTAGTCAAGTATTCATCTCTCATTCATCTATTATTATCGGATGATATTATCCACTAGTTTTTTTACGTCTTATACTCATTCTAAGTGTGTGCGTGTGTGTGTTTGAAAACGATAAATTTTGTCTTTGTTTAGTATAAAGTATCCTCGTCTTATTGATCTACAACACCATAGATGTTGAGGCAGGACTGAACTTAGGTAAAGCAGAAGGTAAATAATGTTTAAACAAACATGCATTCACTAGGCATACATCAACAGTGCGGTTTTACACCTTATCCAAGGAATTACGGCACATCTTCTACACTTATTATTTATTTTATTCACTTACGTTCCCATTGGAGCATAGCCCTTCACACTAGAGCTTTGAAGTTTCCGTAGTAGTGGTGTTTATTACTTTTACGGGATGGGGTTGCTAGCCTCGTTCCCTACCTTCCCCTTTTACCAGTCTTACTCCTGGCTTAGCTAGGTAGAAGAGAGCGTTGGCCGGGGATTGAACCCCGAGGCACATGAGGCGTGGTTGGCGAGCATAATACCACTGTGCCATCAGATATCCAATTGATGTTGAAATCACATCTAATAAACCAAATAGATTATAGTGGTCCAGCTGTTTCTATTATGGTTAGGTACTTTCTTTCCAAATGACACGTGAAGATATACGATAGACAGAGGCTTGGTTTGGTTGTGAGAATGTCAGTGATAACCTCCCATATAAACGTGGTTAAAAATATGATGAAAAAAGAAATCTTGACCAAAGTTAATGTAAACAATAACTAACATAGAAGATAAGGAGAAAATAATAGGCGTTTGTATAGGTGCATCAAACTCACTTCCATGATGGTTTCTCAGTGATTGCATGACTAGGTACTGATGGCCAAGTGGTAGCTAAATTGAAGGACCTATTAAGTAAACAAAACAAAACAAACCAATGATATCAATGTATACCTATTATAAATTGTCTTACAACTCTAAGTTTTTCCTAAGAAAACCTATTGTTTTCATAAAATTTTATTGCTTTCAACTACAGGTGGAACTGACGAGGATATCAAAGCCAGAATCAGAAAAGGAAGATAAACTTTCATTACTCTTAAGTCTGTGTGGAGGTGAACAGCACTCACCATCAAAAATAACATCCGGACCTTCAACTCCAATGTGAAGTCAGTCAGTGCTACTTAACATACGGATCAGAGACTTGCACTGCGCGTCATAAAGAGCATCTCAAACAAACTACAGACCTTCATTAATAGTTGTCTTCGCTCAGTACTCAAGATCAGATGGCCAGAAAAGATCAGCAATAGGAATCTCTGGCAATAAGCGAACCAACCAGGAACCGATTGTGATACAAATAGGAAGGAAGAAATGGAGATGGATTGGCCATAGTCTGAGGAAACCATCAAATGACATCACTAGACAAGCCATTGCTCGAGTGAAACCAGAAAGGGAAGCGGCGAGTTGGTCGTCAGTGCGATGGTGACTTGGAGGAGATCATGTGAAGAGGAGATGAAAGCATGTGGGCAGACTTGTAGTGGGGTGAAAAAGTTGGCAGAAAACCGAAAGCTGAAACCCTATGTTCCTCTAGGAATTAAAGGATATAATAATAATTATTATTATTATGTCCCGAGTGAAACATAAGGCTTCAAGCTAGAGCTTTGAAGTTTTGGTAACAGTGGTTTTATTTTTATAGGGTGGGGTTGCTAGCAACATACGTAGCTTTCCTTCCTTGTCAGCATTACTACTGCAGATAGAACCCCGAAGCAAATGCGTGGTTGTCCAGCAATCTACCTGTGAACCACCGACTTTCTAAGATAATCTCAGCAAATACGTATATATATATATATATATATATACGGTTGGACCAAACCATTGTGCTTAGTAAAGCCCGTCAATAACATGTATCTGCAAACTAAAAGAAACTGATGTCAACCTTGTGAAATTCAAACCCACACCACTCAGTGTTGTAGTAACAGATGTTACCACTAGGATGTTCGGGGTCACGATTGACCTCCTGCTGGACAGTAATGGTTATACTGGTTGGTTACTGGGGGCTGGGGGAAGGCACAGACTGATAGAATTCAATAAACAAACACACGCACACACACACACACATCTACACATTTGCTTACATGAATAAATTTTGAATAAAAACCGGCAAACAAAGAGACATAAAAACAAACTGACTGTATAGCTTACAATTCCAATGGTGATTCTTGAAATAGATCAAATGAAAATATTGACAGATTCGTATTTGAATAATCAGCTTCATTTTGTTTCCGTACATTCGGACGGTGCATTCAAATGCAAAACCAAAGAAACGAAGAAAGAGAACAAAGAAAGATGGATGAATGCCTCATTTATTTTTCTCAAAAAGCAACACGATTATGCCACATTCACACACATTCAATGAAGCAAAGTATTCATTAAGCAACTCTGATTAAAACTAGGTGACGATGAGTCAAACTGACAATTCGCAAAACTTATAATACGCGATTTCCGATTTACATACTTCTGCATGAAATCTCATCATAGTTTCCTCCGGAAACTGAAATGATTAAGACCACAACAACAATGTGTGATCTGCTCGATGTTTAGACCACTTCGATCTGGTTAATAAGCACTACTGGTTGGGTATAATTGGTATCAAACTACTCATCTCAACCAATCAGTAGTATATAGCAACATGTATTTAGATAATATAAGAATATGAGGTTTCTGCGATTATTGTTAGTTTTGTTTGTTTGTTTGTTTTCAACATAGAACTTTGCACATATGTGCCGAAGTTCAAGTCCCACACTCCCTCCTTGTACCACACAAACCAAGAGAAGAAATTCGAGAAAAGCATAATAGAGACAGGAAACAGACGTGTGAGACAAAGGAAGAGTAATAACGAAGAACAAAACAGTTTCATTGGAAATCATAAGTCGCAAGGAGTGGATGCATCTGCACCACCCATTGAGAACGATTTTCAACCATGTCACCAATTGTTTCCAACCATTGACTTTTACCATCCCGAGGACCCCAACCAGTCAGGAAGTCTACACCTTCCTACGTGGCTGACTTAAACTAACTGTTGTGGATTTCATTGAGTGGTGACATGTTTTGGTTTGACCGCCGCTAGCTCTTTTCCAGCCTGACTCTATGTCAGCTGACATTGCCCATTGTCGAGGAAGGCGATGACTAGGCATACGTAACACATGTCCTAACTATCTGAATAGGTGTAACTTCACAGCCTCGTCGATTGATGATGAGGAATACAAATTTGTTCACATGACACTTGAATTGTTGCTAATTTGCATTAATCACCTATGCGTCGAATCGCCATCTAACCAATTTATACTGCAACATATAAAGACATTGTGGTGAAAATATGATACATAACAACAGTTGAGCGTAAACACAAGTCTATAGACCTTTTTATTCTAAATCAGATTCAACACTGAATGAGAAAATATATACTCTTGGATTAGCATTAAACAGTCTCTCATAGATTCATGGATGGGATCTAAGTAAGGTCCAAGAGAATGTGCAAACCCTTTGATGGAAGATAGTATCAAATGAACACAGTATGGAAAGATATACTATTTATGTATAACTCACTCTGTAAAGACGAACAAGAAGGCAGATGGTATATAAATCTAGCTGCGATGTCCAGCTTAGGAACAGCACAGTTTACACTCCAAGGATAGCCCTGACAAGGAAATAAAAAAAGGCAAAACAGATTACAAGAAGGAAATTCATACACCTAATGTCCAAAAACGTTTCAAATGTAATTACTGACTGACTGACTGACGACACCACAGAAGCTTCAATCAAACAAGTATGTTTTATGCGTGATAAATAATGCCGCCTACAAAACATAAGCTCTTGAAGAAATCTTAAAATAAAGAGGGTCGAATACCAGGTCAACGAGATGGTAAACACTAATACAAGTGAATAAAACCACTGGATCTGTGGAGTCAACCAACCACGGTCAAGGTCAGGCATCATTCAGACAGAATTCCAAAGCCCTATACTTCATTTCAACATTATTTTCGTGATTTAAGTATGCATCTCAGGTAATACAAAAACATCAGAAACAGGTAAATGAGCTACAAATCGTCTACACTACTTCAGTATCTTCTAACCTTAAGTGAACAAGTTGGATTTGCAGCTTTAACTAATTGCAGAGAGAGATAAAGAAAGTCTTTGCAGGTATATATTCTTTGGTATACACGTATATGAATACATATATTCATTTAAAAACACTAAGATAACTGTGTTAAGACGCTGAATTTATTATCCTGTGACCACCTACCATTCCGAAATGACTTCTTAACTTTGGTAGAAAACAACTAACCATATAAGATGTGCTGGCTGGGCATTCCAGATTTACTATTATTCCCCGGGGTTTCGAGTGAAATATGAGGCTCCATCTTATCGTCTGAAGTCCTAGCTCCACGACTGTCCATAAGCTTTCATTTCCTCTTCACACAATTTCCTTCACGTCACCCCCAAACACACGACGACCTCATCAATTCTCTTTGCGGTTTCCCTCCAGGGCCTGGCGCGCGATGTCACTCACTTAAATATTTTAATACAGTTGTGTCCGAATTTCATTTGGTTTTGTTGTTTATTCTTCACTGGTATAAACATCTAGTGCGTCGTCGGTTCGTGGTGCATGGTTCGAGTCCCTGCCGGAGCACAACTTAACCTCCCTTAGCCGGTTATAATCCCAACAAAGAGAGAAGGATGGGCGTGAGGTTAGCGATCCCACCGCGTAAAAATAAACACCAGTGCTACTTAAACTTCAAACCTCTAGCTTGAAGCCCCATGTTCCACTGGGAACATGGAACAAAATAAATAAGTCCACTTTATGATTCCAAGTAAAAACCAAATAAATTCATTCCTCGAGTTAAGTGAACTTTCACACTAATTATGCAGACAATTACAATACAGTGTAAATTAATTTGGTGAACAGTAACTTAGCAGAGGAATCCAGAATATGCATTTCGGCCTATTTCGGACTCCTCATCTGTATGTACCTGTATTCTCCAGTGAACGATGGTGTTACCACCAAGACTCGAACCCAGTACCCACCATTTTAAACGCGAGAGCGTTATCCACTGGACTACTTTGGCCACCATCCAACAAATTACTTCGAATTAATCATCCGACACCGTCGGAGCATTCGTAGTACTATGAGACGACAAATCAACTGAGGCCAAATACTTCAGTGCAATCGATTCAACGAGGAAATCAAAATTAAAATAAAGATAGCACAGTTTATTCATTTCTATACATCTGGCAATGAATCAAGCCTATTGTGACGGCTAATTATACTGTGGTGAGAGCTGGCTGTTAGCCAAAATTGGTGGACAGTAATTTACGTCAATGGTTATGCCTCAAATATTGGTCGTGAGAAAAATGAGAACAAAGGCCTTACATAAGCGGATACAGTTAACGTATAGATGATCTGACATTCAAGAAACAGCCACAAAGCGCAAGGTTAACTTTCTGTGGAAACAACCAATCAGAGGACTGTGTTTTCCTGCTAACAATAATCAATAATATGTACATGGTGCGTTGGTGGTATAGTGGTTAGGACGCTCGCCGACCATGCACATGGTCCGGGGTTCGGTCCCCGGCCGACGCACTCCTTTACTTCGCTAAGCCAGAAAAAATCCTGGTAAAAGGGAAAGGTTGGGTATGAGGCTAGCAACCTCATCCTGTAAACATTAACACTGCTACAGAAACCCCAAGCCACACTAGCTTGAAGCCCTATGTTCCACTGGGAACGTGAAGGAAAAAAAAAGGAGGTGTATTGGATACTTTGATTGGACACTAGTCAGTAACTAGTGTACATGAAAATATATAAATATGTGTTGATTTCCATAATAGATGATCTGTTGACTGGCCCTTGTCTTCTGTTGTTACAATACTACTTTAGTGTCCAAACCTCGACAGGTGGAGCAGGATTCAAACCTGTAACCCAATGGCTAGAAACTAAAGCCCCAGACCATTGAGTTACAATCCTACAAACCATCAAAAACATCGATTTTCATATTAAGCTGAATATCTGCAGTTTAGACAGAGAGAGAGAGAGAAAATATTTACACAGGCGGAGACATTCCTAACTTGAAGAAATCACTTAGTATCAGTTTGTGGTGGAAGTTGAGTTTAGCCATTCAGAACAACGGTTTCCTTCCAAGTGTAGACTTTTTTACAATAAGCAGTGACGCATAAAAAGACTACCACCAGTGTTAACACGAAGCCAGTTATCACTTACTACAGCGCTATCAATACCTTTATCAAAGCTGCATAACCGAAACAAACAACTTAATGTCAACAAACTCCTTTTTTATATTAGACTGCTTAGTGTATTCCTCTTAATTTTAACACAAATTATTCGTGTAATAACCAACTAAGAGAACGAAGTAAAAACAAAAAAGCATCAGTATGATGATTGCTTACCAGTTTGGTAAGAAATATCTCCTTTAATCCACCAAGATGTGTGCAATTCTGCGATATTTCATCAGTAAAGTGACAACTAGAAAAATCAATATTCAAAGAACCAATCCAGGATGAAGATGACAGTGAATTGATCCTGTTGTCGTTAACCTCTGAATTCTGTGCATAATTACTTGATTTGAGACTAGATGAAGCAACTAAGCCGAAATACGTCTGTATATAGTGTTCAACCAATAATGGTATAGGGCTATACTGATGCAATTACAAAAATAAACAATAAGAACAATAAAATAATAAATTCTTCAATTCGGTAAGATACTACTTACTAATTGTTAAAAGCCACTACAACATACCTGTGTTAGTATAACTCAGTCAGCTTTATTAGGATAAATAATGAAACTAAATTAATTAGGTGCTTCGTAAAAGCGACACATTGGTGTGCAGAGGACTGCGGCGCACGGGGATATTGGAGGTGGTAAGGGGTGTTTGCAGGTTGAACCTATCATTGGAAGAAAACACAACGGGTGTGGTGAGAGCAGCCTGCTAGCCAATTGGTTGACATTAATCTACGTCAATGCCTAGGTTACTAAGTGGGAATTGTCAGATGGGTACATTTGTAAGGTCGTTTCAAATGTCAAGTGTTATATAGCAGACAGCACGGCCTAGTATGTTTTTCTCTTCGACTCCGTAGATCGAAAGGTACTATGGCAATGTTTGACTGTGAAGGGAGTGCCAAGAAAGTACATTGCACTAATCAAGCCAATCTATTTGAACTCACATAGCCATGTAAGGGCTTATGGGAATTGTCATCTGAACTAACAACAACCAGTGGTGTCCGACAGGGATGTCCACTTTCCCCATTCCTGTTTAACTTCATCATAGGTATGCTAATGGAAGCATCCTTAACTGAACGTAACGACTTACGAATCGACTTGTTACCAGGGAATAAATAGTCTTATGGACTAAGAATATGCAGATGACACAGTCCTGTTAGGGGAGGGTGCTGACAAAATAGAGCAGAGTCTTCTGAACACCTTGAGCAGCAATCTTCCTATGTTTGGCATACGATTCACCCTTGTAAAATGTAAGATGCTACTACACGACTGGACTACGTCAACTCCTAGCTCAGTGAAAGGGAGTGAAGTGATAGAACATGTTGACCACTTCACCTATTTGGGAAGTTGTATCAGCACCAATGGACTCATTGCCGAAGAAATCTCAGCACGGATCCAAAAAGCTCGAGCTGCTTTCGCTGACTTACACCATCTCTGGCGTAGGCGTGACATCCGGCTATCAACCAAGGGACATGTGTACTGCTCAGCACTTCGCTCCGTCCTTCTCTATGGCTCTGAAACATGGCCAATACGAGTTGAAGACATGAAATGGTTGACTGTTTTCGATCATAGATGTCTACGATCTCTTTCTCACGTTAGGTGGTATAATAAGGTAACTAATGTTGACGCTAGGCGTAGAGTGTTGGGCAAAGAGGGAAAATCAATCGACGAGGCTATCAAGTTACATAGATTGAGATGGCTAGGTCACGTCCTGTGCATGACTAACCATCGCCTCCCCCTCCCCGACGGGCATTACTAGCTGATATAGGTGCAGGTTGGAAAAGAGTAAGTCGTGGCCAAACAAAAACATGGCCTCATCAATCCATGAAATCCTTGACAGTTAAACTGAGTCAGGTGGGGAGATGCAGACTTCCGGGTTGGAGCCCTTGGTGTAACAACAGAAGACAAGGGCGAAGCAACAGATCGTTTTATTATGAAAATCAACACGTATTTATACATCTTTCAACTACATTATTATAGACAAGCGCAGTCATCTGATTGGTTGTTTAGGTAGACAAACGCAGGCTTCTGATTGGTTGTTTCGGGATTCCTTGACAAATAGAGTTCTCTCTGCGAATCATATTTTGCCACGTTAACTTTGCTGTGATTGGTTGTTGACTCAGCTTGTTCATATTTTCTCACGGCCCATATTAGTGACCTAGACCTTAACGTAGATTAGTGCCAACCAATCGGCTAGCAGCCTGCTCTCACCACACTCGTCCCCCCGTCAAATAGCTTCGTGCGCAGACGTTCCGACCTTCTGGGTGCTACATCCTCTAGTTGAGGATTGTTACTGACCGGCTTGTCCCACTGTACCCATCTTTGGAGCTGACTGGCGTTAACTCGTTTCTGTTTATCACCTCTTCGGATGGTATATACTTGACCCCGTCTTTTTGTGATTGTGTATGGTCCTTCCCACTTTGGAAGGAGTTTCCGTGAACCTAGCCCGCCTCCAACTGTATATCTCCTGTCTCTACACTTCACTTGGTCCCCGACTGCAAAGGTAATGCACTGCGTCCTTTCTTTCATCTGAGACTTCGCGACATCACTGCGCTGCTTCCGTATTACATTCTTGACTGCCTCTTTCCTCTCTGCTTTTAATTTCGTCGTACTCCACTTTTGGTGCATGGGCCAGGTCTCATTGTGTACCGGTAATCGTGGTTTTCTACCATACATCAGTTGGAAGGGTGACTTCTTCGTTGTTTCCTGAGTGGTAGCCGATGTGTTAGTAAAATCAGTGGAAGCTCCGTTTCCCAGTTCCCGCCCTTCGAGGCCAGCCACTCCTTCAGTGTACGGTTGTTTCTCTCCGTTAGGCCATTCGTTTGTGGATGGTATGGGGTCGTTCTGATCCTCTTGATGCCCAGCTGTTGCAAACGGGAAGTAAACTCTTCACTCTCGAAACAGGGACCTTGGTCTGTCAGTATTGTCTTCGGTACGCCGTGGTCTGCAACAATGTGTCTAACTACTGCATCTGTCACGGTTCTTGCACGTTGGTCTGGGATTGCTACGGCGTCTACCCATCGTGTCGCGTGTTCCGTCATCACCAAGAGGTACTGATTACCATTGGATGTCTGAGGAAATGGACCCATGACATCTACGGACCACAAGTCACCTATCGCGGTAACTGGAATCGACTGAAGTGGTGGTCGTATACACCGGTCACCTTTCATCAGCTGGCACCGTGGACATCCAAGTACGTATCTTGCTACGTCTTCTCTCATACCTGGCCAGTACATACTTTGTCTTAGGAGATCGGTCGTTCTGGCCACGCCTGTATGCGCTAGCTGGTGACATTCTTCTATCATGTCGTGGCGCGACGATTGAGGTATGACAGCCAGCCAGCTTCCGTCGTTCTCTCGCCAGGTCAGAGTCCCGTAGGCATTCACTCTGAGTCGATCCCTCTGTCTGAGTAGTGTGGTTAGCTCCTTACTCGCCGTAGTTTGATCCACTTCTATTCCGTTGGTGATCACCTGTATTACTGTATTCAGCGTATCGTCCAACCTCTGCCTACGTGCAAGTCTTAGTGGGTCTTGTTCTACTGCATGCACTCCGTAAGCGACCTCGGGCAACTCAGACTCATCTTCTGGTCTCGATAACAAATCTGCCAAGACATTTTCACTTCCAGGAACGTGTGAGATCGTAAAATCGTACTCCTGAAGACGCAACATCCACCGTGACAACTTCCCCCGTGGGTCTCTCGCTGTCTTCAAAAATTGTAGCGGCTTATGATCAGTTTCGATGTGGAACCGCCGGCCGAGTAAATAAGGTCTCCATTTGTCGACTGCCCATACCATTGCTAAACATTCTTTTTCTATCGTTGAATACTTTCTCTCTGCGAGTGTCAAAACCCTACTGGCATACTCAACGATTCCCTCGTCCTGTCTTAGGACCGCACCTATAGCGTAGTCACTGGCATCTGTGCACACTGTGAACTGTCTTCCTGGCACAGGTAGTTTTAGCGTCATTTGTTGGTGGTCGAGCAGCTGTTTAATTCTGTCGAATGTCCTCTGCGATTCTTCCGACCAAACAAACTTTGGCTCACCTAGTAGCCTGTATAGAGGGGCTGCTATCTCATTGAAGTTCTTCACGAAGCGGCTATAAAACGCTGCTCTACCCAAGAATTGTCTCAGTTTTCTCTTTGAATTCGGGGCTGGAATCGTTTTAATCGTCAAAATTTTCTCCGGCAGTGGTTTAATCTCACCATTTCCCACTTTATGTCCCAACAGAGTAACATTCTTTTTGGCTATCTGGGACTTGGTTTTGTTGACGCGTAGTCCAAACTCTTCGATGCGTCGCAGCACGGCTTCTACATGGTTGACGTGATCGTTTTCGTTTTGACTGTATATGACGAGATCATCACCATAAACCTCCACGTTTTTCAAGTTCCTAAGTAATAGCTTCATCAGTCGTCTGAACGTAAACGGTGCACCTGCTAGTCCAAACGGCATGCGTTTAAATCGATATTGTGTCTGACCCACGATGAAAGCCGTCTTATCTCTATCACCTTGTTTTATCGGTATCTGCCAGTATCCTGAGCGAAGATCGAGAACCGAAAACACATTCGCACCTTGTAGGCGATCTAAAGTTTCTACCACTGTTGGCATGGCACACGGTCTTAACTCTGTCATACTGTTTAACTGTCGAAAATCAACACAGAATCTATACTTCCCATTCGCTTTTTTTACTAACAGCACTGGAGAGTTGTACGGGCTATCAGCTTCCTCAATAATGTCATCTTTTAACATCTCTTGCACTTGTCGCTCCACTTCGCCTTCCAGATGACATGGAACTCTTCGCGTTGTAAATGACCTTACTTTCGGATCACTTAACGGAATTTCATGATTCACCTTATCGCAATAACCGTATGGGTCGCCATCTCCAGTGAACAGATGATCGTATTTACTAATTAACTCTGTCACATTGTGTACCGTCGGCAGCTTAATCGCTGCTATCTCGCTGGTCTCATACATGTTGATATGCCCGTATTTCGTGACCACCACGTTCGCTTGCGTGTCGATTATGGCACCAATCTCACGCAGAAAATCCGCTCCTAATATCGTTCGCTGTAGTTCGGGTACAACAATGAAAGGAAACGTCACCTCGCAGCCACCAACAACGACCGTACAGTTCGATCTACCCGTTATACGCAACACATACCCGCCTACTGTTTGTACTGTCAATGAACACGGGCTAACACTCTTACATAAATTCTTATCTATTAACGACACGGCCGCCCCTGTATCTATCAAACATACTACTTCTCGATCATTCACTCGCAACTTCGAATACAGAGCGCCTTTCTCAATAGCCCCCACTAAATCTAGGTTCATACGAAAGAAAGAACAAGCATTATACCGTCTGAAATTTTTTCTTTTCCGCCTTTCTGGGCAGTATCTTCTCCAGTGTCCCGGCTTACCGCATTCAAAACACCGGTCTTTTCTATCAGCCAACTTTAACGCCGCCACTTCCCGCTGCAATGCTTCAATTTTCTGCTCATATTCGTTTGGTTTTGGTTGGTCTATAGCGGCTACCGTTGTGCTCAGCAGCTGTCTGGTCACCTTCGCCAGCTCGCTAATATCCATCGGCTGCGTTGCGTTAACCAGTTGTAATCGCTGAGAAATGTGGTCTGGGACACTCTCGATGAATTGGGAAGACAGTAACTGCGCTTCTGATTCTTCATCTAAAGTGGGAAGTGCGCGTCGAAGTAGATTAGTCAGTTTCACCGCCAACACTAGCGGGTCTCCATCAGGTCCAAGCTTCATTGACCGGAACTGCTGCATTGCTAGCTGTCTGTCTGTTTCGCTGTCAAACTCGGACACTAGTCGTTCAACCAATTTCTTCCAAGACGCTGTGCCATTTGACCTGTCTACGCTGTCATATGCAGCCTTCGCTCGGCCTCTCAACAGCGTCCCCAAGACAACTGCCTTCGCTGCCTGCTCCTTGACACCCACCAGCTCAGCAACAGCCTCGAAGTCACGTAAGAAGCTCCTTATGTCTCCTTCTTCAAACGCAGCTGGCCACGGGATCTTCATTTTCTGGAGGCAGCGACACCAAATGTAACAACAGAAGACAAGGGCGAAGCAACAGATCGTTTTATTATGAAAATCAACACGTATTTATACATCTTTCAACTACATTATTATAGACAAGCGCAGTCATCTGATTGGTTGTTTAGGTAGACAAACGCAGGCTTCTGATTGGTTGTTTCGGGATTCCTTGACAAATAGAGTTCTCTTCTGCGAATCATATTTTGCCACGTTAACTTTGCTGTGATTGGTTGTTGACTCAGGCTTGTTCATATTTTCTCACGGCCCATATTAGTGACCTAGACCTTAACGTAGATTAGTGCCAACCAATCGGCTAGCAGCCTGCTCTCACCACATTGGGACTGACTCTAAGAATCAATGGCTGGAGACAATAGGTAACATGGCTCAAACTCATCGTTGTCAATGGCCAGCGCAGATGTATTCAGTCTCTGTAATCTTTCATATTTCTTTCTACCATTACCCATTCTGTTTCACTCTTATATTTGTCAAACTCTATTGATTCTCTTCACTCATCTTCTTGTCTACCTTTGTGTGCTATTTGGAACGTGGCAACTCAAACTGGTGCACTTCGGTGGCAAGTTCTATGTTGAATCCAGACAGACAGACAGTATGTTTTCTAATGACAACAATGCACAACTGAAGCGTCCATGCTACTGTCTGAGTATTTCGCTCCAATAAAATCATTCGACAGGGAATACGCAGTGAACTTAAACAAAAGAAGGAAATATTCCCATATTGAATCATAAGAAAATGACGACGTAAACAGCGAAGAAAATTTTCTTTTCAACGGTTCATTTTCACAAGATGTACAGCAGTCGTAATTATATTTAATAAAAAAAATAATAAGACTAATCAGGTATTGGTAAAACTTTGTCCTCCACCAAAATCCATAGACAAAAACATGCAAGAAAAGCCTCCATCGAGGAAAATCACATCTGTTCCTAAGAAAACTCTCTTCATGAACATCGAATTCAAAGAGGACACGGAAGCGGAATTCTTAGAAACCGCCTTTTTAAATGTCTGGTGGAGACATTTGAAACAGCCACCTTACCTGTCATATTCTCCATTACACAGTTAATTCAGTCTAACGTTTTTGGTCACCTCAATGTGCATTTATCAGTTTACTTGCTCGTGTGGAGCAAAGTACATCTGCTGTACTCAACGTCAAGTCCACTAACGTATCCTGGAACATTGTCCAGCTTGGTTAAGCAGTGGAGAAAAGAAGAATACTAGCAGCTCCATCCTTGAACACCCTGCCATCTCTGGACAGCCCGGATGAATGCTTCACAGTGCTATACAGAGTCCCTCAATATCGTAGAAAAGGACTTCGCATACACCATCCGCACATAGTTGAATCATTAGCCATTCAGGATCTGAAACCGGACCTCTACATTCAAAAGCGCTACATACATGCACTCGCCCTACCGTGGCCAGAGCAACGTTCCTGCTATAATTTTGCTTTTTTTTATTATTTAGGTTTATTATTACTATTGTTATTATTATATTATAATCATCCATATTTTATTATCACTTTATTACTGTTGATTAATAACATTGAGTTTTCACTATTATCTTTCCACTAGTTCCTGTCCATTCTACACAGTCTCACTGGTTAGTCATTATCTCACACTTATTACGTCATGCCAACTTCTTCTCCTTTTCTAATTTCCAGTAAGTCACCCTACCTAGACTACAACTTACATTACGTAATACGTTTTTCGAGGACAAATTTTACCAGTATTTGAATGGTCTTATGATTTCTTTGTTATATATAATCACGATTGAACAGCTTATTAAAAGGAATTTTGAAAAAGAAAATTTTCTTCGCTGTTTACGTTTTCTTCTCAAAAAAAAAGATTTAACCCCTACTGATGGAAAACGGAAGTACAGGAAAAATCCCTTATTACGCATGCTGTTAAAGCTAGGTTTGGTGTTTAAGGATCCGACCAATGTCACGCTACATCAGTTAGAGAACCCATGAAAGCCAAGGAGAACTGGATAAATATTTCGTCCCACTCGGAGACTCTTCATCTGCACACAAACCCTGAGTCATCAAATTGGTAGAAGTTAGAATTCATGGACCATTGGATTCCTTTGCAGTAGCTTCCAACGGTTCTCTAAATGATGTTGGTTCGTGATGAGACATAACGGCACCACGAACTGACATTAGTTACAGACACATTGCAAAACCAAGCAGACCACTGGATAGTTGTTCTGTCCGACTTTGGATCTCTGAAGATGTTGTCCAGAAGGACGACGAAAGCTCCGCAACTAAACCAACCAGCTCAGAGAACACTATTAATTGCATATACAACACTAGTTGTAGAATGTTACAGCCTCCAGCACTTTTAGTTAACCGGATTAAAATATATGTTGTTGAATGATTCTCGTAATAATTAAAACACATGTTATTTAAAACTCAAAATATTGCAGATTTCAAACTCACCATCGAGTGGAATACACAGCCATTTCAACTGAACTGAGTAGTAAACTTAAACGTGTACCACCTTTAATCCAATCGACTTCAGGTTTTAACAGGAATGCATGAGATAGACCAAACCTAAGCACAACAAAGAAGATGATGAAAGAACTTAAGGAAAGTACTGTAATTATTTGCCTTTCAGACACTGAATCTATGGATATAATCTTGTTGACTGATAATACCTATAACTATCCGATTGCCATATTGTGAATGTCTAACACTAACAAATATCTATAATTGTATAGATTGATAGATTTACATCCCCAAGTTGGCTCAAGTCAGTCAGTCAGTCTATGATTCTGATAAGATTTTTGTTGCCCTTCGTGTTGTGAATTGTTTTTCCTTTGCTGGTGTTGTTCTGTTTGCTTTATTCCTTGATTTCCTGGTTTTAAGGGGAGTAACCCAAAAGGTCGCTTCTCTCTAAACTTTATCTTAATGTAACCATTCCTTTCTCAGGCGTGAGGCTAGCAACCCCACGCTGTAAACAAAGCTGCTACGGAAACTTCAGCACCATGAGTCTCCTTGCGCCAAAAGAAAAAGTCTGTGTGGGGACATGGAACGTCCACATCATGTACGAGATAGGCAAAGCTGCCCAGATCGCAAACGAGATGAAAAGATACGGAATCCAAGTGCTGGGAATATGTGAAAGCAGATGGAATGGGAGTGGGCTCACCAAATTGTCAACGGGTGAGTCAGTGATCTACTCCGGTCACCCAGAAGATAACCACACGCAAACATACAGGATAATAACCGCCAGATTCAACTCCAAAGGAAGGAAAGTGTCAGTTATACAGTGCTATGCACACAAACAATGCAGACCTCAAAAAGAAAAATTCTACAGACAACTACAGGCAACGATGGACAGTACTCCAGCTGGTGACATAAAGATACTAATGGGAGGTATGAACGCCAAACTGGAACCAGACAACATAAGAAGGGAACTCATCATGGGTAGAGAAGCTCTCGGAGAAATGAATGAAGATGGAGAACTCTTCGCCAACTTCTGCGCCTTCAACGAACTAGTGATTGGTGGCAGCGTATACAAGCACAAAGATATCCACAAGGCTACATGGATGTTACCAGATGGGAGAACCAAGAACCAAATTGACTTCATCTCAATGCTGCTCAAGGAGGTGGAGGCGCAGCCTACTGGACACAAAAGTAAGAAGAGTAGCAGAGTTGGCTCAGACCACTATCTCGTACAAGGGACAATCCAAGCAAATTAAAAGCTTTCAGGGAAACAGGAGCTGCAGATAGACCACAAGCCAAGTTCAACACTCAAAAACTGAAGGACCAAGATACAAAAGACATCTTCATTGCAAGCACAAAGGACAAAGCCGAGACACAAATCAACACTAGCGAAGAGGTCGGCGTCAAAAAGCACTGGGACAACTTGAAAACGGTGTGGAGTCAAACCTGCATGGAAGTTCTAAGCAGAAAGAAGAGACAGGACAAACAGTGGCTCACTAAAGACACGTGGAGACTAGTAGAAGAAAGAAGGATGATGAAACAAAAGATTATTCAGTGCACCGACGAGCAACAAAAACAGGAGTTGAATGCAAGCTACAATGCACTGAACAAAAGAGTAAAGAAGAGTGCCAGGGAAGACAAAAGAAAATATTATGAAGCCATGTCAAGTGAAGCAGAACAAGCTGCAGGCAAAGGAGACCTCGCCACACTCTACCAAATAACTAGGCACCTTTCGGGCAAAAGTTCGACACAGATTAAGCCAATAAAGGACGACAATGGAAAGCCAATCACCAAAGAGGTGGAACAGAGTAAGCACTGGGCTGAACACTTCAAAAGACTTCTAAATCGTCCGCCACCTACAACTCGCCCAACAATACCAACAACGGAAGCAGAACTACCAGTGAACATCGACCCTCCGACGAAATCAGAAGTCCTGAATGCAATCAGGATGCTAAAAGCTGGGAAAGCAACAGGACCAGATGGAATCCCAGCAGAAGCATTGAAAATGCACCCAGAGATAACAGCGGACTTGATGACACCACAAGTGGAGAAGGCGTGGAAAGAGAGAAAAGTACCCGAGGATTGGAAGAAAGACTACCTATTCAAACAGTCGAGGAAAGAAGACTTAAGTCAATGCAAAAAACTAACGCGGAATTATGCTCCTGTCCATTCCAAAGCAAACTACTAAGCCGAATCATCATGGAGAAAATCAAACATGCCAACATGGATGAAAAACTTCGACCGGAACAGGCTGGATTCAAGAGGAACAAGTCATGTATCAATCAAATCGCCACTCTACGGATCATCATTGAACAAAGCTTGGAATGACAGTCACCTCTCCATCTCAACTTTGAAAAGGCCTTCGACAGCGCAGCGTCGATTGACAAGTGGTGATTTGGAAACTACTTCGCTACTACACGGTGTCACTGACAATTATGTATCTCATCCGACAGTTGTACGACAATGTTGGATGACAATCCACAACGGAAAAGTCACGGAATCCTCCGATGAAGTGAAGACAGGAGTAAGACAAGCTGGCTGGCTCCCTTCTATCTCCAATGATTCTCCTGATTGCAGTAGACTGGATAATGCAACAAACCGCGGGGAATGAGGAAACAAGCATAAAATGAACCCACACAAAAAGGATCTTGGAGGATCTGAACTTCGCCGATGGTATATATCTGATTTCCCACAAACTGGAAGACGTGCAAGTGAAAAGCAACAAGTTGGCAGAACAAGCATCCTGAGAAGATAGGATTCAGGTGAACAGGGAGAAAACAGAGGTGGTGATGAAGATTCCGGGCTAACAGCAACAGCAACAACAACAGACAACAATCAGCCAGCATAAATGAGAGTAATCTGAAAAAAGCAACTTCCTTTACCTACCTACCTACCTGGGAAGCATCGTTTCAATAGCAGGCGGACGGAACTGACGAGTATACCAAGGCAAGGATCATAGCGAAAGCCAGAAAAGCTTTCATTACTCTCAAGTTTGTGTGGAGGTCAACAGTGCTCAGCATGAATATAATAAGGTCCGGATTTTCAACTCCAATGTGAAATCAGTGCTACTTACCATACGCAACATAGACTTGGCGCGTCATAAAGAGCATCTCAAACAAACTGCAGACCTTCATTAACAGTTGTCTTCGCTCAATACTCAAGAAAAGATCAGTAACAGGATGGGATCTCTGGCAATGGGCGAACCCACCAGGAACCGATTGTGCAGGAAATATGCAGGAAGAAATGGAGGTGGATTGTCCATACTCTGAGAAAACCATCGAGCGATATCACTAGACAAACCCTCGAGTGGGAGACGAAAGGGAAGTGGCGAGTTGGTCGTCAGTGCGATAGTGACTTGGAGGAGGTCATGTGAAGAGGAGATGAAGGCATGTGGGCAGTCTTGGAGCCAGGTGAAAACTCTAACAGAGGACAATACGCATTGGAGAAGCGCGGCTGAAGCCCTATGTTCCTCTAGGAATTAAAGGAAATAATAATAATAAGGCACAGAGTTATTACTAATTTCGAAATAAGTAGTACGCGGATACGCGTATTGATTGCATAGTTATGAAGCAAGACAATAGGCAAATCAGAGAAGGAAATCTTCTGCACCGATGAAATCACCTTCAAAGACGATCTGTTTATATTTGCCGAAAAAGGTATATAGGTATGAAGCAAATAAGAGGATTCCTAGTTCTGCTAAAAAGCTTGGGCCACCGGAAACCTCCATCAATACACTGCATATACTTTCTCTTATTCAGTTTGTCAAAATCTAGTATAATATAACCTGTAATAGTAATATTTTCTCTGGCGAGTATTTAAAGCGTTTACAACCTTTTGATTTGCAAGTTTTCTACTAAATTTGAGAAGAAGCAGTATTCTGGATGGTAGCTCATCCAATACGTGAGTTAACCATTCCTGGATTATGTCCTTGATTCGCGAAGCGTACTCCTGAACTGTTTATAACTGGCATTCAACCAAATGTCGTAAATACCTCGGAGACAAGGAAGAGACATCACCATGGATTGGTTTGCGCTTCAGGTCAGGTGGAAAGAACTGTGTCACACGATCTACTGTCGATTTATGTTATATTTGAAGATCCTAGACGAAATCTGTCTATCTGTTTTCGACATAGAACTTTGCACATATGTGCCGAAGTTCAAGTCCCACACTCCCCCCTTGTACCACACAAACCAAGAGAAGAAATTCGAGAAAAGCATAATAGAGACAGGAAACAGACGTGTGAGACAAAGGAAGAGTAATAACGAAGAACAAAACAGTTTCATTGGAAATCATAAGTCACAAAGAGTGGGTGCATCTGCACCAGCCATTGAGAACGATTTTCAACCATGTCACCAATTGTTTCCAACCATTGACTTTTACCATCCCGAGGACCCCAACCAGTCAGGAAGTCTACACCTTCCTACGTGGCTGACTTAAACTAACTGTTGTGGATCTCACTGACTGGTGACATCTTTTTGTTTGAACTCCGCTAGCTCTTTTCCAGCTTGACCCTATGTCAGCTGACATTGCCCATTGTCGAGGAAGGCGATGACTAGGCATACGTAACACATGTCCTAACCATCTCAGTCTATGTAACTTCACAACTTCGTCGATTGATTTCCCCTGTTTACCTAGAACTCGACGCCTAACCTCAATATTGCTCACCTTATTGTGCCACTTCACACGGGAGATCGAACACAGGCACCTATGATCAAAGGCAGCTAGCCGGAATTTTCATGTCTTCCAATCTCAATGGCCAGATCTCACAGTCATAAAGGAGGACGAACCGGACTGATGAGCAGTACACCCACCCCTTGGTCGATAGTCGGACATCACGTCTACGTGTGGTCAACGTGCTCTACCACTTCACTTCCTATTTCTAATCTAGGAGTCAGTGTAATCCAGTCCTAGGAACATCACTTTGCATTTGGCGGGAGCGAATCGCATGCCAAACATTCGGAGATTGCAGCTCAAGGTGTTTAGAAGACTCTGCATTTTGTCAGCGTCCTCGCCTAGAAGGACTGTAATAATAATAATAATAATAATAATAATAATAATTTTTCCTTCACGTTCCCAGTGGAACAAAGGGCTCCAAGCTAGTGGCTTGAAGTTTCTGTAGCAGTGTTTAATTTTTACAGGATGGGGTTGCTAGCCTCATGCCCAACCTTTCCCCTATACTAGCATTATTTCTGGCTCGGTGAGGTAAAGGAGTGCGCCGGCCTCGGATCGAACCCCGAACCATATGCATGGTCGGCGAGCGTGCTAACAGCTATACCACCGACGCACACGACTGTATCGTCTGCATATTCTAAGTCAACGAGATTATTCCCCGGTAGCAAGTCAATCCCTGAGTCGCTGAAGTCACCTAGGGTTAAGTCCATTAACACATCTATGATGAAGTTGAATAGAAAAGGAGATAATGGGCATCCTTGACGGACACCACTGGTCGTCATCAGTTCAGATGACAGCTCGCCGTAAGCCCTCACCTGGCTGTATGAGTACGAGTAGAGTGCCTTAATCAGTGCAATATATTTTCTCGGAATTCCCTTTACAGCCAAGCATCTCCAGAGAACCTCTCGGTCGACAGAATCGAATTCTGCCTTTAGGTCAAGGAATATAATGATTGTTGGACACCGGTAGGAGTGCCTATGTTCTAGAATCTGTCGGAGGGTGAAGATGTGATTAATACACCCTCTTCCTGGTCTAAAGCCTGCCTGGCTCTCTCGTGTTTGTGCCTCCCGAGCACCACTTAGTCTACGCATGATTATTGAGCCTAAGACTTTAGATACTATATTAGTCAAGCTAATCCCTCTGTGATTATCACAGGAAGACTTGTCTCCCTTCTTGTATATGGGGATAATCAGTGACTTACACCAACCCGATTGGACTTCCTCTGATTCCCAGAACCTCAGTTAATGCAGACAATAAACTGTCTCCACCGTACTTAAATACCTCTGAAGTCATTCCATCAGGTCCTGCTGGTTTGCCTTGTTTCAGACTAGTGACAACTTTAGTAACCTCAGTTAGGGATGGAGGACCTGTGTCTATATCCCATTCAAGGAGGTGTTGAATGTTCATCAGGTTGAGCGTGGCTGTGGGCCAATTAAACTGCTCCTCAAAGTGCTCTTTCCAGCGTTCTAGTTGTCTATCCTGAGAGCTAATTATGGTGCCATTTTTCTCTGAGATTGTTTCACTTATGATTCGCCTTCTCTCACCCGTTTCCCTGATGAGTCTAAAGAGTTGCCTGGTGTTGCCTATCACCGATGCTTTTTCCATCTCCTTTGCCTTTGTCACCCACCACTGTTCAGTTTCCTTTTGTGCAGCTTTCGCTCCTCATTGAATTTGGAGCTCGCCGGAATAAGTCTTCTAGCATCCATCAGTTCAGATGAGGCAGTCGAAATCCAATGGTTTTTACTCACCTTTGGGTTTACTTTATTCACAGATTTTACAGCTGTATTTATGGCTGACTGAATATTCTTCCAAGCTTCTTCAGGGTGAGCACAGCTGTCGAACACAGATATGTGTTTAGCTAGTTCTTCTTCAAAACGAAGAGAAAATATCGTGCAATAAACTCCCCTGCATATTCTGTATATTACAAAAATAAAACACTATTCAGAATAAAGCTGTTTTTCTTATCTCATATAGGCGATTAACAAGATAGGAGTAGAAGAATAACTTCTCTTTCTATAGTTGTTTCGATGGAAACAATGATGCAATTTACAAAGGGACAACTGACAAATGAAGTTCCAGTGATGATGAACCTGGAGACTTGAAAAACTTGCTTAATGGGAAAAATATTCACAAAAAGATGTGACGAATAAAAAGAAAAGAAAAGAATGACCTCCGATAGCTTTTTTTGATGAACTTCTTTACTTCATTTGTTTATTTATTTCAAAACAAATCTGGTGTAAAACACTCATTTTTAACAGATAATACGACCTATTAAACTCCTATGGATATGAACCTACGGGCTCTGATGAAAACAAGCCTAGTCATCCAAGTGTTGGTTTGTAGGGATTTGATTGGTTTCAGGATTTCATGATGAAATCCTGAAGCCTAGTCATCGGTGATCACAACGATAACAAGGGCAAAAGTACCACCACCGGGAGAAGATGCAACAAGAGATGATGAATAGTTGACAAGGGAGCTAGACAAAAGTCTTAACAGATGACAGCAGTGCTAATTGTACTTGTTCTGAATAACCATTATAAACAATAAATTTACTGTGATAGGTTAATAGAGTTCACAAACAGTGAGAATCCGACCTTCAGAAGTACATGAGTATGCGGAAAGAACAAAATAAAGTAATTTTAATGTTACAAGCCAAAATTAGGGCTGAATTAGGAGCAAATGAGACACACACAGACACATACACACGACACAAAACAATTTAGAAAAGACAAAAAGGAAAGAAAATGAAAGAATAATGAAATCAACCTGAAATTCATTCACCAGTGCCAAAGACAACGCAATCTGGCAGATATCTAGCAAGGATTATATACCAAACTGTGCAGAAATTTTTTATCATTAATCATCCGCACCATGGGTGTCAAAACTTCCCAAACAAGCATATTGGTCGATAGGAGTGAGTGCAGATCGCTTCTCTACAGGTTTCAAACATCATATAGTACAGGTACAACAACTATAACAAGGTGAAAACTAGTCACAAAAAAGTGGTTAATTATCTTTTTTTATTCCTATACGTTCCCAGTGGAACATAGGGCTTCAAGCTACAGCTTTGAAGTTTCGGTTGTTATGGTGTTTTATTTTTACAGGATGGGGTTGCTAGCCAGTCTCATGCCCAGCCTTCCCTCTTTACCAGCCATTACTGGCTTAGTGAGGTAAAGGAGTGCGACGGTGGCCGGGGATCGAACCCCGGACCACATGCGCGGTCGGCGAGCATTATACCGCTGTGCCACCGACGCGGTTAATTATCTCTTAAAAAAATATTAAATATTTGATAAAACTTACCAAAACAATGGAAGGAGATATGGCTGATTGAAATCCGGTATTCGAGTGATAAGGTGAGCAGATGTTTGTGTATCTGAAGTCAAATAAAAAAATTCCAAGTGAACTTCTTACCATTAGGTTGAGCTGAATTGGTTGATTTCTTATCCTCGTCTCCAGATTCCTTATATTTATAATAAAATAGACTGAATACTCTTTGACCGAATTTCAGGTTTCCACAAAGGTAAAGACGTCCACAATCTGTAGACTGGAATAATATATATTCATTAGAAATAGTCTATAAAACTGTTTCAATTGAAATATTAAGGGAAGTTATATATATATATAAGGAGTAATTGCTTCTCTAGAGCTTACTCTCATGTTTTGGTTAGTCCAGTAAATAACTCGAAACGATGAGTTCTTGCTTTAACTCATGGAAAATTCCCATTGTAACATATAGAAAATCAAAACAAGTGATTCAGCGAAGAGCCTCTTTTCAACAACGAATTTATCCTCAAGCTGTACAATCGTATATACATGTGCTTTTTAAGAGGTTACATCCGGTGTGGAAATTGAATCATAGGTGTCAATGCATAAAATAATAATAATAATCATGTGAAGTTCAATTAAAACTAAAATGTTTGTGATTATAATCATAGTTAAATGTCAAGTGGCAAAATAATTAGTGTCATATGTATAGAATAATTCATAGGATGGATAGAACTTGGAAAGTGTGTGCAATTATAGGATTAGTAGACAAATCGAATATAATAAAAACGTTACGTAATACTGTGTGAGATTTAATAGCATAGAATTTATAGTTGTAAAAAAGAATTGATTTAGAATGACAAGTGGAACAAGTGAAATAATAATACCGGGGACAGTTCAAAGTGGGAATAGTAATAATAACAAATTGACTTAATAAGGAAGAGTATACAAATTGAATAGACAAAATGAAAAATGAAAAATTGGTAGAGCTAAAATATGATAGGGGATTAACATACTTTAGCATAGAGGGATTCAGACCATGAAAGTTGCAGGGGTTGAACGAACTGTTTTCTGTACACAGAGATCTGGCTTTTCTGTTTCGATAGACAAAGCTTCAGCAATACAGATGAGTCGGGTACGTAGGGATTTGGGTAAATTACTCTTTGCCTTGTAGGTGACTTTAGAGGCGGAGGCTATAAAGATAGGGTGATCATTTCGACCAGATGTTCTGTTCAATGATCGCGCTTCTTATTGCTCCACTTCCACCTTTTCGTAACCATGCAGGATAGTGTTTTTGCACCCTCTTGGACAAAACTCGAGTCGAACGACCGATATACCTAGCCAGCTCCACACGAGCAGGTGAGTTGATAAACGCACATAGAGTTGGTCAACAGCGGGATCTTGTTCTTCAGGTTATTGAACAGTAATGGTCGGCTAGTAAAGGCAGGGAATGTTCTTTTCAGGGACTGTGATATCCTTCGTTACATGATATCGGAAGCGAAGTCCCCTTTGAATTCCAAGCTCATGTAAAGTAACGTTTTAAAGGCTTTTAATATATATTCTTATCTATAAAACGTGGTGGAAATCCATTTTGTATTAGGATGTTCCTCAAAATGTATAACTCATCTTCCACAGCATCAGTGCTACATATGCGCCGGCATTCCATACTATTATTATTACTTTATGCATTCACACCTATTCCATATATGATATTAATTTGCTTTGCCACCTGACATTTAACTACGAATATACTCACAAACATTTTAATTGCATTTCATACTATTATTATATGCATTCACAGCTATGATTCAATTCCCTCACTGGATATAATTTCTTAAAAACCATGTATATATATATATATATATATATATATATATATATATATATATATATATATATATATATATATATATATAAACGATTGTACAGCTTGATGATAAATTCGTTGGTGAAAAGAGTCTCTTCGTTGAATCCACACTTGTTTTAATTTTCTTGCTTTAAGTCTAATTAGGAATGCCCACTAATTGACTGACATGCAGGTACACCCACCCAGCTGATGTGTCCCCTAATAAGGTTTCTTGCATTTGGTGTGTACATTATACTTGTCGATAGTGTGATATCCTACTGAAGGAATATATATTAATCTCTTTTCGCACTCATCTGTTGTCGTATTTGAAATTCAAAGTGGATTTATTGCACATTAATGTATGATTTCAAGTCTCTGTACATGCTGATAATAATTGTCAATTAGTGCATATTTTATTCTATAGTGTGGCATTATTAATACCATGTACCAGCCTGGAATGTGCTGAAATGCAGATTTTCATTTCACCTCCACCAATCAATACATAAATAAGAATCTATCAGACAAACTATCCTTGGTAGTTTCGTCAGTAAATTTTACATCGTAATTATATTATCGTGGAATAATAGCGAACCAACTCTGCGTGTGCGTGTGTGTAATTTATTATTATTATTGTTTCCTTTAATTCCTAGAGGAACATAGAGCTTCATCCACACGTCTCCATAGCATTCGGTTCTCCACCAAAGTCTTCATCTGGTTCCACATCTGCCCACATGCTTTCATCACCTCCTCCATGTCATCCTCGCACTGACTACCAACTAATTCACCACTTCCCATTCGGCTTCCACTCCAGCAATGGCCTGGCGTGTAATATCATTTGATAGTTTGTTTTCTCAGAAAAAATGGACAATCCACCTCCATTTTTTCCTGCAGATTTGTTGCACTATCGGTTCATGCTGGGTTGGTTCGCTCATTGACAGAAATCTCACCCTGTTGCTGATCTTCTCCGGTCGGTCATCTGATCTTGAGTAGTATTGAGCGAAGACAGCTATTGGTGAAAGTCTGTAGTTTGTCAAAAGTGGCCTTCTTGACGCGACGCAGCGCTGCACCAAGTCTCTGATCCGTATGCAAAGTAGCAGTGACTTCACATTGGAGTTGAAAATCCGGACCTTATTATATTCATGCTGAGCACTGTTGACCTCCACACAAACTTGAGAGTAATGAAAGCTTGTCTGGCTTTCGCTATGATCCTTGCCTTGGTATACTCGTCAGTTCCGTCCGCCTGCTATTGAAACGATGCTTCCCAGGTAGGTAGGTAGGTAAAGGAAGTTGCTTTTTTCAGATTACTCTCATTTATGCTGGCTGATTGTTGTCTGTTGTTGTTGCTGTTGCTGTTAGCCCGGAATCTTCATCACCACCTCTGTTTTCTCCCTGTTCACCTGAATCCTATCTTCTCAGGATGCTTGTTCTGCCAACTTGTTGCTTTTCACTTGCACGTCTTCCAGTTTGTGGGAAATCAGATATATACCATCGGCGAAGTTCAGATCCTCCAAGATCCTTTTTGTGTGGGTTCATTTTATGCTTGTTTCCTCATTCCCCGCGGTTTGTTGCATTATCCAGTCTACTGCAATCAGGAGAATCATTGGAGATAGAAGGGAGCCAGCCAGCTTGTCTTACTCCCGTCTTCACTTCATCGGAGGATTCCGACGTCTAAGAGACAAAATGTTGACGACAGGAAGTACAAAATACCCAATGGATTCAAAGTAAAGCAAAATACTTAAAATACAAAACTAATAGTAAATAGAACACTTACAGACACAATGTCTTCCTTTATTATCCAACTGATTAAAAGATTTTCCAGTTCTTGTGTAAAACTGTCCAATTAAAATATAACATAGAATTGTGTAGTTACTCATCAGTTTGAAAAGAATTATATATTACAAAATCTAAAGATGATATGCGCAGATTGATGAAAACTAATCCTTTTTCAAAGCCCTTATTTTTACCGAATGAGATAAATCTCATTTTAGAAATAGAAATGTATTTATGACTGTCACGTTATAGGACTGACTGACTGGTTTACACGAAGAACTTTGCACAGATGTGCAGCAGTTCGAGTTGCCACACACTCTCTTTTCTTGTAGCACACAAAGAAAAAGAACAGAGTGAAGAGAGATAATAAATAGGAGTGTCAGTGAGAGAAAAAGAATAGTAATATAGAAGAACTGTAGATTTCTATTGGATGTGATAAATTACAAACAGTGAATGCATCTGCACTGTGCATTGAGCACGAGGACTTTAAGCCATACCATCAATTGTTTCCAGCCATTGGTTTTTACCATTCCGAGGACCCCAACCAGTCAGGAAGTCTACACCTTCCAACGTGGATGGCTGGCTTAAACTAACTGTGGTGGATTTCATTAACTGGTGTTATGTTTTGGTTTGACCACCAATCCTATGTCAGCTGACATTGCCTGTCGAGGGATGTGACGAATTGCTATGCATATTTAACATATTTCCTGACGATCTCAATAGATGTAAATTCACAGCCTCGTCTATTGATTTCCCCTCCTTACTTAGCACTCGACGCCCAACCTCAGTATTCCTTAACCTACCATACCACTTTACACGGGAGATTGAACGCAGGCACCTAGGATCAAAGACAGCTAGCCGAATTTTTCTTGTCTTCCACTCTTAAAGACCAGGTGTCACAGCCAAAAAGGAAGACGGAGAGAACTGCTGAGTAGTACACACGCCCTTTGGTCGACAGGTAGCCGGATACGTCTACGCCAGAGACGGTGTAAACTGGAATATGCGAAATTAGCCTTCTGTATCCGTGCTAAGATTTCGTCAGCAATCAACCCGTTGGTATTGGCTGATGGAGCTTCACAAATAGGTGAAGTGCTCAACACGCTCCACATACCAATTCAATCCCTATTTCTAATCTAGGAGTCAATGCAGTCCAGTCCAGTCCTATAGCTTCATCTTAAATTTGACAGCACGAGCTAATCGCAGATTGCAGCTCCTCAAGGTGTTCAGAAGACTCTGTATAACGTCAGATTCCTCACCTAGAATAACAGGAATCATCTCCATATTCTAAGTAAACGTGATTATTCCCTGATGGTGATAAGTCTATCCCTGACTCACTGAATTTTTAGTTAATAATTTGTGTCCAGCGGTTAGATTACTTCAATGCCGATCTATCTAACAAATATAACAATATATCCTACTTAAAAAGAGATAATAGAAATACCTCAAAATACTTAAATGTTATAATACTACGACATACTAACTTACACTTCCCAGTCTGTTACAGCTGTATAGTCTTCAAACGTTTCTCCACTTCTTTCCTACAAAAAGGACAGTGAATATTTTAGATGAAACATTTCAGGCTTTGGAATAAATTCATTGTCTTTATTTGAAAATTTACCATCAATGAAAACTTACTGTAAATGTACATTTACTCATCGATTCAGTCATATTCTCATCTCTGTTTGTTTTTCACAGATAAATTCTGTAAATAAACAAATTGAGAAACTGAATTAAACACAAGTTATTAATGTATGTAAAATAGTTGAAACAGGTACTATTCGATACCTGAGTACTGACAGCTCTTTACCGATAACCGCTTCATTGAATGTTAGAGTTGTTGCCTAGATTGCATTTTTTATAAAAAAAAAATGCAGTCTCATTTAATACGTGAGGGCTGATGACTTCATTCAACTGTCCACGCAGAAGAAGGTGAAATGGAACTGGGATCCACTGCTTTAACCTGCCTAGACTGATATGCAACACCCGCATTATATAACAAGCAATCTTTTTTGAGTTGTAACGAGAGATCTGATTGTTTCCCTATGTGGATTTACTTATCTGCTGCTTGTGATTCGTAGGCAGTGACCAAGTTGTTAACTAACTGCAGACATGTGAATATGCGAGAGAATATTGGTCGCAGCATCCCGCTGTAGTAGCATAACACTTCATCGCTTTTCCATGCACCCGACCGAAAGCTGCTACCTTGACGTGGTGGTCGGGCTTGAACACCGCAATGATCTATTCAAGCTATACTGGCTGAGACTTATGTCTCTTGAGGTCCTACCATGCCAGGCAGGTTGTTTGGATAGCGGTTAAACAAAAAGCAGCTACCCAATCCAACATCATGACCAATACAAAATCACAAAATTTCATGCCGGATCGGCCGTGGCCCGGATTAACAACGACCGCGCTTCCTGCTGCCGTGTCACAGGGCAGGAGTGATAAGTATGCTACTGAGGCACACCAAACAAAAGAGAACAAACAAAAACAGGCCGCGTGTGACCGGCCTCAAGCAGTTGTCCCCTGGGCTCTGCGGTCACGCAACCAACTTCCACGGTGTGGGCAGCCGGGAAGTAACAATCGCCCTCACAATCCGAAACGCACGCGAAACCTCTCTATTACTCACTCATCTTTGTTTTCATCTTCATCTCTATCATCTTGCCTTCCTTCCACTGATGCAACTCCTCGACTTGATAGCTCTCCACTTCCTCTCCACTCTGCGTCCACTAAAAACGATGGAAGCCAAAAAACCACCACCGACAGCCTCTTAAAGCCGCGCCACCAATTTCATATAGGAGCTTTTAATGTTAGGACACTTTGCCAAATAGGACAACAAGCATCACTAGCCAAGACCCTGGCATCACGAGCCATTGATGTATGCTGTGTTTCAGAAACACGCATACAAGACCCAAGTGTGGTTATTCACCTAACCCCACCTGGCCAACAGGTTGAATCTGCAAAATTCACCTTGAGGGTGTCAGGAGATGCCACAGCTAGTTCACGAGGATTAGCTGGCGTAGGGATAGCTTTGAGTACTAGGGCAGAAAAGACATTGCTTGACTGGATCCCGGTAGATAGCCGAATGTGTGCTGTCCGTCTGAACGGATCAGTAAGAAGGAGAAAGGACTGCACTACTCGCCGATGCCTTTTCGTAATCTCCGCCTACGCCCCCACTGACTGCAGTTCAGATGAAACGAAGGATGAGTTCTACCAAAAGCTGTCTAGTTTGGTGAGAAAGGCTAAACGCTCAGACATAGTCGTTCTAGCTGGTGACTTTAACGCTCAAGTAGGGAAATTGTGTCAATCTGAGAAGGATGTCGGTGGCACCTATGGAGTTCCGTGCCAGCGAACCGACAACGGTGACCGTCTCCTACAGTTCTGTTCTGATAATCATTTGTTTCTTGTAAGCACTAACTTCAAACACAAGGAGAGACACTGTTTGACTTGGAGACCCCCTTCATCAAACCAACGCTGGACACAAATAGACCACATAGCAATAAGCTATCGTTGGCGTGGGTCGGTAGGAGATTGTCGCTCCTTCTGGAACACGTGCGTAGATACCGACCACGCGCTCGGGTGTGCTTACGACTGAACGGACGTAGGAAACAGCTGGCGGTAAAACCATCACGTCCCCAGCTCGATCAGGAAACTAAATCCGTATTTGAGGAAGAACTAGCTAAACACATATCTGTGTTCGACAGCTGTGCTCACCCTGAAGAAGCTTGGAAAAATATCCAGGCAGCCATAGATACAGCTGTAAAAGCTGTGAATAAGGTAAACCCAAAGGTGAGTAAAAACCACTGGATCTCCACCGCCTCATCCGAACTGATAGATGCTAGAAGACTTATTCCGGCGAGCTCCGAATTCAATGAGGAGCGAAAGCTGCACAAGAGGAAACTTACGAAAAGTCTCCGCAAGGACCGTGAACAGTGGTGGGCGACAAAAGCCAAAGAGATGGAGAAAGCTTCGAGGATAGGCAACACCAGGCAACTCTTTAGACTCATCAGGGAAACGGGTGGGAGAAGACAAATCATAAGTGAGACAATCTCGGAAAAAAATGGCACTATAATTAGCTCCAGGATAGACGACTGGATCGTTGGAAAGAGCATTATGAGGAGCAGTTTAATTGGCCCACAGCCACGCTCAACCTGATGAGCATCCAACACCTCCCTGAATGGGATATAGACACAGGTCCTCCATCCCTAACTGAGGTTACTAAAGCTGTCACCAATCTGAAACTAGGCAAAGCAGCGGGACCTGATGGAATGACTCCAGAGGTATTTAAGTACGGTGGAGACAGCTTACTGTCTGCATTAACTGAGGTTCTGGGAATCAGAAGAAGTCCCATCGGGTTGGTGTAAGTCACTGATTATCCCCATATACAAGAAGGGAGACAAGTCTTCCTGTGATAATCACAGAGGGATTAGCTTGACTAATATAGTATCTAAAGTCTTAGGCTCAATAATCATGCGTAGACTGAGTGGTGCTCGGGAGGCACAAACACGAGAGAGCCAGGCAGGCTTTAGACCAGGAAGAGGGTGTATTGATCATATCTTCACCCTCCGACAGATTCTAGAACATAGGCATTCCTACCGGCGTCCAACAGTCATTATATTTCTTGACCTAAAGGCAGCATTCGACTCTGTCGATCGAGAAGTTCTCTGGAGATGCTTGGCTGTAAAGGGAATTCCGAGAAAATATATTGCACTGATTAAGGCACTCTACTCGTACTCATACAGCCAGGTGAGGGCTTACGGCGAGCTGTCATCTGAACTGATGACGACCAGTGGTGTCCGTCAAGGATGCCCATTATCTCCTTTTCTATTCAACTTCATCATAGATGTGTTAATGGACTTAACCCTAGGTGACTTCAGCGACTCAGGGATTGACTTGCTACCGGGGAATAATCTCGTTGACTTGGAATATGCAGACGATATAGTCCTTCTAGGCGAAGACGCTGACGAAATGCAGAGTCTTCTAAACACCTTGAGCCGCAATCTACGAATGTTTGGCATGCGATTCGCTCCCACCAAATGCAAGATGATGTTACAGGACTGGACTACATCGACGCCTAGTTTAAAAATAGGAAGTGAAGTGGTAGAGCACGTTGACCGCTTCACTTATTTGGGAAGTACCATCAGCCAGTGCCAACGGGCTGATCTCTGACGAAATCTCAGCACGAATACAGGGGGCTCGTTTCACATTTGCCAGTTTACGCCGACTCTGTCTGTTTTCGACATAGAACTTTGCACAAATGTGCGGAAGTTCAAGTCGCCACATTCCGTGTAGCACGCGAAGCAAGAGAAGAAAGTACAAGAAAAGCATAATAGAAACAGTGAGCAGAGGTGTGAGACAAAGGAGTATTGTATAAACCTGTGAGATTTTATCAAAACAAAATTTACCCATAATGGAATTCCAATGAAACTGTTTTGTTCTTCGTTATTACTCTTCCTTTGTCTCACACCTGTTTACTGTTTCTATTATGCTTTTCTTGTACTTTCTTCTCTTGCTTCGCGTGCTACACGGAGTGTGGCGACTTGAACTTCCGCACATTTGTGCAAAGTTCTATTTCGAAAACAGAGAGACAGACAGATGCACTAATCTCAGAAGGTTGGTCAGTTTTCTAGGAGACAACAGAACTACATTGTGACGCCTATAAGACAGTCAGCAAATGGGTGATTTCCTGTTGTCTTCAAGGGTTGGGACAGCCTTTCCTTTTCGGAATGTTATCCGGCAAAATATACGAAAGGATGGTAAGTTGTGCAAACTTTTTATTCGCGAAACATTTTGTAAGACCTGATATTATTGAAGCAGATAACTGAGAGAAGTTACGCCTATTTTTCTTTTCGCCATCCCATGTGATATCACCACAGTGGGGAGAAAACCTTATTTTGTATAATAAGCTATAGCTTCTCAAGCTTACAGCAATTCTAAACTTATTCTAACATATTCTTCGATGATGCCTTTTAATGGTAAATGATATAATCTGCCCAATGTTCTGAAAAAACGCTGTTCGTGCTTAAAATTTTAAGCACTTCTCTTTAAAGAGAGATGAGGGTTGAATTAAGTCTTTTCGTTTTGAAGTAACGCTAGTCCATGCTTAATATGTCCTGTGAGCGCTGGAACAACTCTGATGAGAAAACCCAGTAGGTTCTGATCTACTCCTGGATATGCCTAGAGACAGAACGCGGTGCTAATTTAGTGCGTCATGCTGAAAACCAGCACTGAGTTCTAGTCTGTGCCATTTTGGAAGAGAATTTAATCAATACTGAATGTTAGAATTATTTAATTCAGCATTACGGCAAGCTTGTATTATAGTACCTACATAGTTTAGAATACCATATATCGCATTCATACAAACGAATAATGAGGAAATGAAAGAAGCTAAGTGAGATAAATTGTAATACTTAAAATACTGAAAATGACAAACTTACCGTTATGTGAAGAATGACCTTGAGTACCGCAAGTGTTAAAAGATTGTACTTCCAGTATCCAATATCCTTCCACGATCAGATGTTAACTGCATTTATTTCTTTCAGGATATTTTCTGTTGGCAGCATGAAACTTCTTGATCTTGCGTTCGTTCGTCAACTGTAGCTTTGGTAGATCCTTCAGTGAGTGGTGTTGGTGTTTGTGATTTGGTTTAAGTATTTTGTTAAGCCTGTGACTGTGTTCTCACTGTAGTTAGTACTTCCACCTGTTAGTCATCCAGTGAGGTCAAAAATTGATGTGATAACAATAAAAACCGTATGACTTATGCCTGATATCTGAACTTCAGAGGGGGAAAACTATCAATTTTATTATTTAAAACAATTACTGAATAGTAAAGTACTGAATAGGCAGATAAGCCATGAGAGTGGGTCGGGAGGGACTGAGTTGATGTTAATAAACAGTCCAGTATGGACCCATCAACAGAGTACTGTTGATGTGGGTCGCTTATCAACTTCCACTGAACAGTCCATATGGACAGCGTCCCCCTGTCACGGTATGACTAACTAACCCCCATGTAAAGCTTTGTACTGGAGCTGCAGTAGCTTCGGTCGCTCAAAAGTGTTAAAGTCAAAGTAAAGGGAAAAGTGCTAAGGAATTCTGTGACTTCGCATGTGATATCTCCATTATGAAGAAATCCATAATGACATACTGACTGAAAAAATTTGTCTGCGAGAATTCGGCAACTTGTTGTAAGAACGGATCAAGCCATCTCCACGGTTATTCCTTCTTCGAACTCTTACTAAGTGTTCGGCATCACTTTGAAGTAACGAGTGAACGATGATATTATGCAGGTCAATGGATGGTGTTATATACATCCTGAGATATGCACAGTTTTGGGAGCACCTAACTGCCGTTCAGTGAACTATAAAACCACACAAATTTGAGCCAGTTTATCCGAGAAATTCACGCTTGTTTATGCCCTTTTGTAAAGTATGACCAGCTATCCATTAACTCCCAGTCTAGAAAACTCAGAAGTGGGACGTCATTTCCTCTACGAGTAGGCTCTGATACATAATGATTGTGTGTAAGGGAGGATTACTCTTGTCTTTGTAACTCCTGTAAGATGTCTTTTGAGGAGGAGAATATAGGTCGATAGCATAATCACCTCCTGAAATTTTTGAAATCGTAATGAGATCACTTCTCAGAGTGCTAAATTATAAATAGAAGACATATTTTCCTTTCCGGTATGCTGAATCGGAGATTAAAAATGTGGCAGTCATTTTGGCTTTCCCAATAAGTGATGATGAACATTACCATATGACACACCACATTATTTAATTTCCTGGGGGTAGGATAATATATTCTGCTAGAGAAAAATTCTTTGAAGCAGTTGAGTATAACTTCAAAGATTCCAACATTTATCTGTAACAGTGTGAAGGGGAGCTACCTGAACTCTGTGTAAGCAATAAAAACAGTCTTCTTGTTGTCACTAGACTGGAACCAGATTTCTTTAGCGACGAGAAGTTTTGTTAAACATCAGAGGAAAACTATTCTGCGCCCTGGATCATAATATTTTTTCCTTGCAATCCATGATAGCTTTCATGATAATTATTTTTAATGTCTTAATTCGGATGGTGGCAAAAGTGGCAGTTCTCTGGTCTGATAGATCAAGCTTTGCACACCCTTTTGTGAATAAGAGTTATTGTTGCAATCTTCCATTCAAATGAACATCTGTCCTAGTTAACTAGCTTGCTAATTTTCTGCCCGGTGGCGAGCTCGGGTAAAGACGGAGGGTTGAGCGTGAGGCTAGCGACCCTACACCACTAAACCTATCAAACCGCTAAAGAAACTTCGATGCACAGGCAATATATTAAAGATACAAAAATTCAAATAAAAATCTTATTTTTTGTATGACTGCAGAGGCAAAATGATACAGATGGCTGGTAAAAGACCTCGAGAAGCCTCTCGACCAGCCAATGTGTCTTCTCTCAGTGAAAGCAAGAATAGGAAAGAGGATATAGGATGTCCGCACAATGCACAAAACTGGTTGGGAAGACTAACCAGAGGTCAAAGAGATGACGAAACATGGCATAGAAGTAACGGGTACTTGCCAGAGCAGATGGAATGGTTGTGGACTGTCGAAACTATCAACTGGGGAATCTGTAATCTACGTCAGTCTGGTCACCAAGACGCGATCAACCACGATCACACTGAGGCAGTGAGTGGCTATCATAATTTCACCATTGGCAGCCAAGACTCTAACGCAGTGGAAATCAATATCATCCAAGATTATGAAGGCAAGATTCAACTTCAAAGGAAGGAAGGTTACAGTTACATTTACGAACAATCCTACAAACATCGCTGGACGAGAGAAGAAGGAAGATTTTTATAGACAACCACAAACAGTAATGAACAATATCCCAAATGGATAGAAAAATTCCCATGGGTGATATGGATGCAAACCAAACTGGGAGCAGATAATAAAGGAAGAGAACTCATCATATGTCAACAGGCTCTCGGAGAAATGAGTGAGAACGGAGAATACTTCGCAAACTCTGCCCTTTCAACGATCTAGTCATTGAGGACAGCGTTTAGAAGTTTAGAAGTTGACGGAATCTCCTATACATCAACTTCTAACTTATTAATTCTCGCGTAAAATTTTTGTCAGTAATGTTTAATAAAATTTTTGCTATATGTTTTTTGGATTGTTGGAGTTCTCATTCCCTGGCTAGTTATCTTGGTGTCCGCGTCGTGTGATCTGACTGCGATACACTCTTACCATACCGGTTGCAATGGTTAGTGTTTCAGGTGGCATGTGTAATAATATCGCTATAAAGAGGAAGATGGGATGGTTATAGGGTCATCTAACGCAAATAGTTTACTTCATGTAAAAGCTGCACCAGCCTCGCCTAGATTAGTAGCTCGACAGTTTTCGTGTCGGTCCCAAGCCCGGATAAAGAGGGAGGGTTGGGGCTTGGTGCTAGTAACTCCACCCCCGTCAAACAACCAGATCGCTACAGAAACTTCAACGCGCATATATATTAAAAATTCTAAAGATATAAACAATAGCCTTATTTTTCGCTGGAATCGGGAAGTGAAATGACACAGACTGATGAAAGCCCTCGGGAAGCCAGTCAGCCGATGTGCCTTCTTCCGATAAAAGCAAAAGTAAGGACGGGTACCTGGATTGTTCGTACAATGTACGAAACTGGAAGGGCTGCCCAGAAAGCCGCTGCATAAAGCAGTCTTTGCTTTCTCAGTTTGTCAATTCTTGTATTCTACCCATCCCCCTCTACTGCTCCCATTAATCTTCCCTGGACTACTTAAGAAAGACTTTTTCTTGCCAGAAGGGCACTAAAAGCCGTTAGTAGTGTTTAGAGGTTGACCGAATCTCTTGTTCAGCAACTTCTAACTTATCTATTCTCGCGTACCAAAAACAAAGCCAAAGCCAATATTTGATCTTCCAGACTACGTGATATATTTCGGGACAAAAACAAGCCATCAGACGAACGCTTAGCTGGCTAGTGATCGTGCACGTGACACGACGGGGTACCAAATGGCGGGGATGCTTGACCAGAAGCCTTCAGCTAAACAAGTCGACTTAAACAGTGGTGATCGGCATCCAATGATGAGTGATTGCTGTGGTCAATAGTTTTGGGGAATTATTTACCGCTACAGCTCACTGCCCCCCTAGTGGGGTGGTGAGGACCCTAAGACAGAACCAGCCGGAAGTAAATAAAACTCGATGGTTCCCTTTCGGGTGAAAAAAATCTTCCGAGCGGCTTGGTCGTATGCCTACTGGTTTGTCTGCCTATGCTAATAGGGTGTTTGTACATGGCTTCCTTGAAGTTGTTCGTTGGATCCCGTGCTTCGTTTGTTTCCTGTCCAGTGCACGTCGCACCTGGGAAAGAAAACAAGAACGCTAAGAACCATGTCGAGAAAAATGTACCAAGTCAGCTTTTTTTGTTTAAAAAAATGATGTACATTTACTATATATTAGAATAATGCCAAGTTCAGAACATCGAAAAAAATACATCTAATTAATTTTTTGTGCATATTACATGTACTGTTGAAGAAAAAATTTTACTTGTGTTTAGTGATACTGTATATAAAAAAATTGATACGTCTAAAAAAATAGTTAGTACCACAAACGAATGAGTTGGGTGAATCACACGACTTCGTTATGTTAAATAAGTGTGAAGATATTCTGGGAACCTTACGGTACGTCCAGAACGGGTTTTCTTAGGAGGCTCGACAGAAGATTCGGTAGCTGTCGCTGTGCTAGTGACTTCATCGATGTCTAAACGATCTTCTGTTACTTGTGGATTTTGGGGTACGTTGAGCTCTATGCTAATAGGATTACCCTCCAAGTAAGCCGGTTTCAGACGGTCAATGCTGACGGTGTCCTCGCGGCCTTTTCTATCCAAGACAAAGAATTTATCCTAACGTTTAATTACTTTATAAGGTCCGTCGTATGGGGGTTCCAGAGGTCTGCGCACAGAGTCGCGACGAACAAATATATGTGAAGAATTTTTCAAACATGGATGAACAAAAACATCAATGGACTGTGGACGAAGGGGAGCAGGTTTAACTGAACGCATTGCGTTTGTAAGCCTGCTGACGTATGAAGCGTGATCTACCACTGGTGGGAAGCTCGAGGGAGAAACAATTCACCAGGCAGTCGTAGTGTCGTGCCATATACTAGCTCGGCGCTAGTACAACCAGCATCGGTTTTCAAGGCGTTTCGTATCCCTAGGAGAACTAACGGAAGGGATTCAGTCCAATGGGTGTTGTTTGCAGCTGACAGACCAGCTTTCAGCTGTCTGTGTAGACGTTCTACCATACCATTAGCTTGAGGATGGTAGGCTGTTGTTCGAAAACGCATGCAACCTATGATTTTAGTCAGGGCGAAGAATAAGCCACTTTCGAATTGCCGCCCGCGATCAGTTGTTATGGAAGATGGGCATCCAAAGTTAGCGATCCATCTTTCTACAAAGACGCGTGCGACTGTTTCAGCAGATACGTCCTTGATGGGTACTGCTTCCGGCCATCGTGTGAATCGATCGATGCAAGTTAAAATATAGGTACATCCATGGGATTCAGGAAGGGGTCCAACCAAATCTATATGGACGTGTTCAAAACGAGCGTCAGGGAGAAGAAAGGTGCCAAGTGGGCTTTTGGTGTGTCTTATCACCTTGCACTTTTGACAAGCTAAGCACATGTGTGCCCATTCCCTTACTTCTTTATTAATGCCAGGCCAACAAAACCGACTAGTTACGAGCTTGACAGTAGTTCGAATACCTGGGTGAGATAAGCCATGCAACGTATTGAAGACGTTACGGCGATAACTTTTAGGCACGATGGGGCGAGGAGTACTCGTGGAAATGTCGCATAGAATAGTATCTCTTCCCATACCTAAGGGTTTCTCAGCTAATTGTAGGGTTGTTTTCGACAACTCATGTTGAAGCTCGGTATCTTCTTTTTGAAGACGAGCCAGTTTTACAAGGTCTATGCCGTCGATTTGGGTGAGGGAACAAACGCGCGACAAGGCATCTGCCACAGTGTTGTTTACTCCGGATACATGGCGAATATCTGATGTAAACTGTGAGACGTAATCCAGTTGTCGTGATTCCCTGGGTGAATACTTATCTGAAGGTGAGTTCAGAGAGTACGTCAGAGGTTTGTGATCAGTAAAAATTATGAATTCACGACCCTCTACCGAATGTCGAAAATGTCGTATAGCACAGTACATAGCCAGAAGTTCTCTGCCGAATGTGCTGTACTTCGTTTCAGCTAATTGAAGGCGTCTCGAGAAAAAGGCGAGTGGTTGCCACTCTTTGTCAACTAGCTGTTGTAGAACTGCGCCGATTGCAGTGTTTGATGCATCAACCGAGATACTTAACGGTGCCGTTGGATCCTGATACATCAGAAGTGTGGCATTCGCAATGGCTTTTTTAATCTGGGTAAAAGCATTTCGAGCAGACGCGTCAAGTTCTATGGACTTGTTATTCCCTCGAAGAAGGTCTGTCAATGGCTGAATCAAAGAGGCACAGTTGGGAATAAAGCGTCGATAATAACTTACTAAGCCGTTAAAAGTGCGGAGACTTTTCACCGTCTGTGGCTCTGGAAAGTTCAGTATAGCCTCGACCTTAGTAGCCAGTGGGCGAATGCCCTTGCAGTCAATAGTGTGACCCAGAAAGTCGAGTGAGTCAACACCGATTTGACACTTTTGAATATTAATGGTAACACAATGTTGGCGTAACCTTTCAAATGCCAAGTCCAAGTGTCTAAGGTGAGTTTCCTTGTCTGGACTGGCAATGAGGCAGTCGTCTAAGTATGCGTATACAAAGTCGAGACCGCGAAATACTTCATGAATGAAGCGTTGGAATGTTTGGGCTGCATTCCGGAGACCGAATGGCATACGTAGAAATTCAAAAAGTCCGAAAGGCGTAATGATAGCCGTTTTCGGGATATCTTCTGTTGCCATCGGGATTTGGTTATACGCTTTAACCAAGTCGATTTTGGAGAATATAGTTGCGCCAGATAAGGTTGCCGTCAAGTCGTGTATATGAGGCAACGGGTAGCAATCAGGGGTTGTTTTGGCATTCACTCGCCGGTAATCACCGGTGGGTCGCCAATCATTGCTATCCTTTTTCGGAACCATATAAAGTGGGGATGCCCATGGGCTATTCGAAGGTCGAATGATGCCAAGGCTAAGCATATGGTCAAATTCATTCCTAGCGATTCTCAGTTTGTCAGGAGCCAGTCGTCGTGCTTTAGATGTCACAGGTTGTCCTGTGGTAATGATGTGGTGCATAACATTGCTGGTTATGCACGGTAGGTCGTTCGACGGGCAGTTAAGTTCCGGATATTTGTCAACAATAGGTTGAAAAGTTGGATCAAGGATTGCCTTTATCTTAACGGGTGACAAACTGGGGCCTATGTATGTGATGCCTTTGATGGACAGACTAGTAATATTGTCAATCAGTCGTTTTCGGCGGACGTCTACGAGTAAATCATGATGATTAAGTAGGTCCGTGTCAATGATGGGCATTGTGACGTCAGCGAGAAGGAAAATTCACCGAATAGGTTTGCGTAAACCTACGTTCAGATAGACGTGTTTCCTACCAAAGGTTGCGATTGGTTTTCCATTTGCAGCCTGTAAGTTGAAGGTAGGTTCCTTCTGTCAATCTGCTGCTGTAGCAGGAAGGACGCTGACTTCGGCGCCTGTGTCGACTAAATATCGAGTCCGGCTAATCACATCATGGATGTAAAGCAGGCGGCTAGTGCCACCGGTGACGGTTGCCGCTAACGCGTGCCGGTGGGATAGTTTTCCACAGACTTTGGGACATTTCCGAAGTTACAAGGCTTACGGCAACACTTCGCTTCTTCGCCATAGGTGTTGTGGTACCAACACCAGTCAGGGTTGTTTAGTGAACGTTGCTTGGACTTAGATCGACCCGCGTGAGTTTCGGTGTTGAGGAGATTTAGGACGACGATCGGAGTTAGAAGGATGGAGTTGCATAACTCTATCATTGCAGTATCCTTGCTCGAAGTCTGCTTAGTCATTGAGCATATTTCGGGAAATGACCGTTTAGTTATTTCTAGAATCTTATCTGCAGAAATAGCTGAGTCATCCATAAGAACACCCTGAAGTGTCACAAGTACAATCTGAACGGACTCTGGCAGCTTGGATAAGAAGAGTTCTCTAAAAAGTCCTTCATCGAACTGACTTTGGCTAATAACCTCTCTCATTCTTGTCAGCATGCTCACGGCTGACTGATCCCCTAACTCGATGTTACGAAATAATTCGTCCAGACGTTGTCGATCCGTGAGAACGTTTCTCCTGAGGAGGGATGCTTTGAGCAACTCGTACGAGTTACTTACCTCGGAACTCAACATCTGTGAAGTTACGCACTTGCTGAATTCCCGCGGTAGGGCGTGTGTCAGCCACGTCTCGTAAACCGTCAATGCCGTTCTTTGCCCTATCCTATCCCTCTTATTCATTATTTACAGTCTCTGTGATGAAGTATGGAAAGCGATACCTATTTGCAGATGATCTCAAGATAGTATACGATTATGGATACAATGAAATGAGCGTCAAAAACAAGATCCAACATGGCTTAAACAATCTAGGCGATTAGAGAGAAAAGTGACAACTGACTTTCAATCCAGACAAGTGAGGTATAGCCCACCTTGAACACTGGAAACCGAGAATGTGCCTATATATGTACGGTAAACCCTTCTCACCCGTTGTGTGCGTCTGCGGCATAGCAATTAGGACGCTCGCCTACCAAGCCACTAGCTTGAAGCCCTATGTTCCACTGGAGAAAGTGAAGGAAAAAAAGCCCTTCTCAAAACCGAACATAGTCACAGATCTTGGGATAACACACTCAGATTTAACCTAATCCGATCAAGACTGCAACGACTTACTGGCTTTGTACTGCATAACGTATACGCCCAAGGACATGTATCCGTCCCAAACTTGAATATTGTGCTCTCTTATTTAGCAATCTTAGGTCTGTAGACAGAAAAAATCGAAAGTATCCACAAATTCCTCACGAACCGCATAATAGGGTTCGACCAACAAGTGGAGTATGTTCACAGGTGTATACGTCTGAAATTAGAACCTCTGTGGTTAAGGAGAGTGAAGTGCAACTTATTTCTGCTCTTCAAAGTCATTAGGAAACATTGTTATAGTAACTCATCCATAACGTGGGCAAATATCAAATCATATCAGTCGCGAAACCACGACTACATTGTCAAGGTGGCTACCCACAGGAAATCCATTAGGGCAAACGTTTTCACCATAAAATATTGCACTCTTTGGAACCAACTACGATCTGAATTTAGACGTCTTGAAGACCCCAATTTGTTCAAACGGAGCCTAGAAAGACACATTAACAGATCCGCCATAGCTCGTCTAAAAGACCACAACTGTTAGTAGAACGAAAATCGAAAGCCAGTCTAGCCTTCAGTAAAGTCACATACGACTCTAATACTTACGCAGCGAACGTTTAACTAATTTACTTATTTTCTGTATAATCTTCAATAAGTTGTCTTTGTACTAGAAACTCTAGATACAATTATATTAGCAAACACACCTTTTAATATTTTACACATATTTACAGTTAATAATACATTGCCATATTTTGTGTCGAAATGACATTACTCAGTCAATAACTACCTTTTCTCATTTACTTTTCTAAAATGTATAATTTTATAACAGTTCGCAGTTTTTTACATAACATAAATTGAAGGGTTACTTTGCAATGTCTGACGCATACCATATGGAAATTGGTCATGGAAATTTAGCATAACTAGTTGTGTTAACCAGCTGTTTACCTCAGGATCTTTTGATTTGACACTAGTAACTAGTTTGATGCGTCTAGTCCTCTGATCGGTGTAGACTGAATTCTATCAGTCAGGTTGTATTGTGACCACCATTCTCGCCAGCTCACCATCACGGTGAACATTGATTTGATGGTATTAGGTGGTTGGAGGCAATCGGCAGGAAGCCTTGGACCTAGGTTTCGTGCTAGTTGGCACTCGTCAGCAAGGCGTATCCACTACAGTCCTACAGGAGGTCAATCGCGGGCCCGAATAGCTCAGTGGTAACGTCTCTGACTGCAGCACTGGGTGACGCGAGTTCGAATCTCAGAAGGGACATGAGTTCCTTCAAGGTTGCAGATACGCCTTGCTGACGAGTGCCAACTAGCACGAAACCTAGGTCCAAGGCTTCCTGCCGATTGCCTCCAACCACCTAATATCTCAGGATCATTCTGCATAATTTTATCACCATTTGTTCCACTGCCCATTTCACCCTTCTAAATAGACTATAACTTAGTTGCTGTAACACTAGCTACTTCTATGCTTTATACTTCTTAAAGTGAACTCAATTTCCTAGGCGTTTGTAACAAATACTCGTACACATGTTTACATGTATGAAGGTGATGCGGCTAAGAATGTACTCAGGTATCGCTATATCTTGTGACATAATGGGAAGCACTTGTCATGAAAGCTATTTATGTACAGCATACTGTAAGATTGGGACGGGCTCAAAGCAACGCAGCGCTCCAACTACAGTTGTTGCAAAAAAGACCTCAGAGCTTAACATCAAAAAGGAGGGAGGGTGGCGCATGCTGATCAGCAGATATGGCAGTAGTCACAAATGTGAATCGCTCCGACCTGTAGGACAGCAACATGCATTATTTGGCAGCTCGAGAATTAAACATGTAGCGGTAAATAATTCCCCAAAATTATTGACCACAGCAATCACTCATTGGATGCTGACCACCACTGTTTAAGTCGACTTGTTTAGCTGAAGGCTTCCGGTCAAGCATCCCCGCCATTTGGTACCTCGTCGTGTCACGTGCACGATCACTAGCTAGCTAAGCGTTCGTCTAACGGCTGGTTTTGGTTCGTAAATACATCTCTTCGTTTGGACGATCAATTATTGGCTTTTGCTTTGTCTTTGGTACGCGAGAATAAATTAATTAGAAGTTGTTGAACGAGATATCACGTCAAACCTTTAATATCTCTCAACCCCTAAACTGGTGAGCCCAACCGCGAACTTCATCCACGAAAAATCCGCAGATAACCCCGGTGAGTTCGTTCCATTTTGTATTTGTTCTTGTACCATATATTATTCGACATAATTTTCGTCATGAGTGATCTTAGTCCCAAGGTCATCCGTATCCGCTCAACTCCTAAAACCATTCAGCTCGTACCATACTGGCCAGATAATGCTGAAACGTGGTTTCTGCTAGCTGAAGCAGATTTTTGTGAGCATGGGATAACTGATCAACGTTCACAGTTACTTGCAGTTATTCACGCCCTACCGCGGGAATTCAGCAAGTACGTAACATCACAGATGTTGAGTCCCGAGGTAAGTAACTCGTACGAGTTGCTGAAAGCATCCCTCCTCAGGAGAAACGCTCTCACGGACAGACAACGTCTAGATGAATTATTTCGCAACATCGAGTTAGGAGATCAGTCAGCCGTGAGCATGCTGACAAGAATGAAACAAGTCGTCGGCCAAAGTCAGTTCGACGAAGGACTGTTTAGAGAACTCTTCTTAACCAAGTTGCCACAATCTGTACAGACCGTACTTGTGACACTTGAGGGTACTGTAATAGAGAACTTAGCTATTACTGCAGATAAGATTCTAGAAATAACTAAACGGTCTGTCCCCGAAATATGCTCAATGACTAAGCAGACTTCGAGTGAGGATCCTGCAATGACAGAGTTATGCAACTCCCTTCAGCAGATGTTTAGGTCAAACACACATTCTAAATCCTCCAACCGTCGTCCTAAATCTCCTCAACGCAGGAACTCGCGTGGTCGATCTAAGTCCAAACCACGTTCACTGAAAAACCCTGACTGGTGCTGGTACCACAACACCTATGGCCAAGAAGCGAAGTGTTGCCGTAAGCCTTGTAACTTCGGAAATGTCTCAAAGTCTGCGGGAAACTATCCCGCCGGCACGCGTTAGCGGCAACCGTCGCCGGTGGCACTAGCCGCCTACTTTACATCCATGATGTGATAAGCCAGACTCGATACTTAGTCGACACAGGCGCCGAAGTCAGCGTCCTTCCTGCTACAGCAGCAGATCGACAGAAGGAACCTACCTTCAACTTACAGGCTGCAAATGGAAAACCAATCGCAACCTTTGGTAGGAAATACGTCTATCTGAACGTAGGTTTACGCAAACCTATTCGGTGGATTTTCCTTCTCGCTGACGTTACAATGCCCATCATTGGCACGGACCTACTTAATCATCATGATTTACTCGTAGACGTCCGCCGAAAACGACTGATTGACAATACTACTAGTCTGTCTATCAAAGGCATCACCTACATAGGCCCTAGTTTGTCACCCGTTAAGATAAAGGCAATTCTTGATCCAACTTTTCAACCTATCGTTGACAAGTATCCGGAACTTAATTGCCCGTCGAACGACCTACCGTGCATAACCAGCAATGTTATGCACCACATCATTACCACAGGACAACCTGTGACATCTAAAGCACGACGATTAGCTCCTGACAAACTGAGAATCGCCAGGAATGAATTTGACCATATGCTTACCCTTGGCATCATTCGACCTTCGAATAGCCCATGGGCATCCCCACTTCATATGGTTCCGAAAAAGGATAGCAACGATTGGCGACCCACCGGTGATTACCGGCGAGTGAATGCCAAAACAACCCCTGATTGCTACCCGTTGCCTCATATACACGACTTGACGGCAACCTTATCCGGCGCGACTATATTCTCCAAAATCGACTTGGTTAAAGCGTATAACCAAATCCCGATGGCAACAGAAGACATCCCGAAAACGGCTATCATTACGCCTTTCGGACTTTTTGAATTTCTACGTATGCCATTCGGTCTTCGGAATGCAGCCCAAACATTCCAACGCTTCATTGACGAAGTATTTCGCGGTCTCGACTTTGTATACGCATACTTAGACGACTGCCTCATTGCCAGTCCAGACAAGGAAACTCACCTTAGGCACTTGGACTTGGCATTTGACAGGTTACGCCAACATGGTGTTACCATTAATATTCAAAAATGTCAAATCGGTGTTGACTCACTCGACTTTCTGGGTCACACTATTGACTGCAAGGGCATTCGCCCACTGGCTACTAAGGTCGAGGCTATACTGAACTTTCCAGAGCCACAGACGGTGAAAAGTCTCCGCACTTTTAACGGCTTAGTAAGTTATTATCGACGCTTTATTCCCAACTGTGCCTCTTTGATTCAGCCATTGACAGACCTCCTTCGAGGGAATAACAAGTCCATAGAACTTGACGCGTCTGCTCGAAATGCTTTTACCCAGATTAAAAAAGCTATTGCGAATGCCACACTTCTGATGTATCAGGATCCAACGGCACCGTTAAGTATCTCGGTTGATGCATCAAACACTGCAATCGGCGCAGTTCTACAACAGCTAGTTGACAATGAGTGGCAACCACTTGCCTTTTTCTCCCGGCGCCTTCAATTAGCTGAAACGAAGTACAGCACATTCGGCAGAGAACTTCTGGCTATGTACTGTGCTATACGACATTTTAGACATTCGGTAGAGGGTCGTGAATTTATAATTTTTACGGATCACAAACCTCTGACGTACTCTCTGAACTCACCTTCAGATAAGTATTCACCCAGGGAATCACGACAACTGGATTACGTCTCACAGTTTACATCAGATATTCGCCATGTATCCGGAGTAAACAACACTGTGGCAGATGCCTTGTCGCGCGTTTGTTCTTTCACCCAAATCGACGGCATAGACCTAGTAAAACTGGCTCGTCTTCAAAAAGAAGATGCCGAACTTCAACATGAGTTGTCGAAAACAACTCTACAATTAGCTGAGAAACCCTTAGGTATGGGAAGAGATACTATTCTGTGCGACATTTCCACGAGTACTCCTCGCCCCATCGTGCCTAAAAGTTATCGCCGTAACGTCTTCAATACGTTGCATGGCTTATCTCACCCAGGTATTCGAACTACTGTCAAGCTCGTAACTAGTCGGTTTTGTTGGCCTGGCATTAATAAAGAAGTAAGGGAATGGGCACAAACGTGCTTAGCTTGTCAAAAGTGCAAGGTGATAAGACACACCAAAAGCCCACTTGGCACCTTTCTTCTCCCTGACGCTCGTTTCGAACACGTCCATATAGATTTGGTTGGTCCCCTTCCTGAATC